TGTATGGGCACTATTAAACGTAATCGTAAACGTAAGTATTATGATGTAGCCTCTTTGAAAATATTATTTTTATTTCTAGTGATCAATTGGAAATGAGTCATTTTTCATTACCAAGAAACGGTGTTCTATTTGTTCACACCACACTAGAGTAAAATACTTTTTAAAAGTATTTAGAATAAATACTCGAATACTTACAAAAAATAGTATTCTGAATATGTATTCAAATATTTTATACAAATTTTATTCCGAATACATTATTTAGAATACTTCAAAAGTATTCCGAATACTTTTAAAATACTTTTAGTTTTCATACTATAAAAATAAAAGATGTCCACTCAATAGAAATATTTGAAATTTTAGGCTAAATATATGTTATTTTAATGTATTTTTATATTACATAACTGTTATAGTTTATGGTTTACAACTAGTGGCGCACATAGGATTTTTTTTCGGGGGGGGAGATGGTCAAGGTAAAAATATAACACAATTAACAAAATTATGCAAATCCTTAATATATTATGACTTAAATAATAGCATTGATAATAGAATAGACTATTCTATAATCAATGATATTAGGTATTTAATACTATATTCATATTTCAAACTTGTAAAATTTGTAAATTTTAACCTAGACATCGGAGAAAATGTCGGGGGGTTACAACCTCTTACCTCCCCCCGCGTGCGCCACTGTTTACAACAATAATAAATACCTGATATTAGTTTATACAAGATACGACGGAGAAGTAATAAAATCATTTAAAAAGTGATGATTTAACGGTATTCAAAATACTTTAATGAATACTTTCAGTATTCCGAATAATGTATTCGGAATACTACCCAAGTCTGGTTCACACATAAAGGATATTTTCTATTAAATAGTTTAAATATTTGATTTCTTATAGTCATATACAACTACAACTCGAATGAAAACATAATGAATATCAATTAATTTTACAAATAAAAAACGTAAAATAACTGTTATATAAGTGATATAATATGAAATAGAAATAAATCGATATGAAACTATCATTAGTAGAGCAGAGGATTTGTAGCATTTGCATATTTTTTTTGCACAAATAATAATTTTAATATAATAAATATAATATAATAATTAATAATAATATAATAATAATTTTTTCACAAAAATAGCAGAGTGCGAAACAAATACGTTATATGCTTTCACAAAGCTATAAAACGGTTAGGTTATGAAATTACTAGTTTTGAAATTTTATTGTGCATATAAACGCATATTTTGCGTTTTTTTGGTTTTTAGGGCATATTTCATTTTATACTTTTAGATTCATATTTTAAATAATTTATCATTTCATCAATATTTTTTCGTCGACGTTTTTATTTATTTATTTATTTATACAAACAAAATGACGTTGAATTTAAAATTATTTTAAATTTTTATCATAATATTAATATGGTTTTTGACTTTTCTCAGACCCATCATGGTTTTTCTAAAAACACGTCTCGATTGTTGTCGGGTTATTAATTTTATTTATAGACAGATGAGATAATATTATTTAACGCACAAAATATTGATACGGGCCACGGGGACACCTGTCGCTGACATCGGACATAGGTATTTATATTTCAGTAATCGCTGTGTTTCTCAATGGTTGATAGTCTAAATACGTTCTATTTACTATTTAATATAAAAAATGCCTAAAGTAAGTATCCAGATAAGAAAAACCATAAAATAAACCCAATTAAATAATTGTAACTTGTAAAATAAAGTTGTAAATAAAATTTATTCATTATAATAAGTACTTATAAAAAAATTCTTATTTTATATTCGAAAAAATTAATTTTAAAATGCAATCATGAGTGATGTACCTATAATTATTGTTTATAATTTATAAGTACAGGTAATAATTATTATTATTTAAGACTGGATTTTACTGATATCAAGACTTCTTTTCACAGTTTAATCAGATAAATCAAATCTGATTAGATTACTAAACGTAACTATATGTTGACTACAATAAAAATTACAGTTATTTTTAATCCTAGTAAATTTATGTTGTAAATGCTTATCGTAATATTTTCAACGTTTTTATAGTGGGTTGCAGGTTTAACTTTTTTTTTAAAAAAAAAAAACCTTAATAAATATGTATTTCTTTACTACGATATAACATAGTATCAATAAAGTGAACTATTACTCATTGTGAGAGTAAAGAGGTGTTTTTAATTTTTAATCTAATTTACGACATTTAATGTCATTCAATTTGATGTACCATTTTAAAAGTATACGTATAAATAATAAATATTAATTACAATATGTTTAATTATTGGTTTTAAATATAAATTAAAACATAAGTATTATATTTTGTAAATATCTCATTTATACAGAATGCAGGTAAATAATTTATAAAAATAAATTAAAAAAATGTAAATAAACACGTTCATTTTTTCATAGAAAATGTTCACTTTTAAGAAAAATGAACATGCACATGAACAAGTTATTTTTGATATTATATAATCAATATGCATTTTAAATTAAAATGTAAAAATTATAAGTAAACAAAGCATCATTTTTGTTGTATAGAACATTTATTAAATTAAAACCATAAAACAAAGTCAAGTTTAGGAGGTTTTTTAAACAAATTATGCTCTATGCTAAAGAATAGTGTAATTTAATAGTCAAAAAACTCAAAATTATTATCTTACCTGATTATCGATCATTTGACTAATTTTTGTTTCCAATTCGTGTTTCCGTTTAAGTGTATCGGCTGCAATAGCACTGACATTCGTGGATGAAGTGGTAAAAATGTTCATAATCTTATTATGCGACATTTTAATTGTAAATTAAACAATTTCAAAACTCAAAATTTTGCACAGATAAAAACAAATTTATATAAAGAATAAATGATATAATTATTATTAAAATAATCTGTGATATGATATTATATGATAAATTGATAACTTGAGAGTTATATTTTGTGATTCGTGATTGTAGGTGCTAGTAACTAGTTAGTAGGCAGTTACCACGGTCGTAGAATAATAATAGTTACCACCACCAATATCAAATAATACAGACTAATAAGGAGAAAATGATACCTAATAAATAAATTATTATAAAAAAAAAATCTAGACTTGGGAAATACAATAATTATAATTATATATAAAGAGTTAATACATATTATATACTTGTCAGGTATCCATGGGGGGTTTGAACCACCTAAATCTCCCCTTCCCTGAGCACGCCTACGCATAACATAAGCTTCCGAGATGAGTGCCCATCGAAACAAAATATTTTATATTTTTCGAATTTTACAATGGTTGTTATTATAACTTTATTTTAGTTCGACCATTTGTGTAGGTACCTACTCAAATCACAAACAGAGAAAAAAAAACAATCAAATAGAAAATGCACAATTTGTTAGTTCAAATTACAATATTTATATTAATACATATTATACGTTGGTATAATCAGTGGCGGTGCGAAGTTTGTTTTCTAGTGAAGCAGGTTGAACATTTTACTTAAAATTTAAAGTTCTAATTAATTTTTAAATTTTCTTCTGCAATACGTTTGGTTTTATTTTTAAGCTGACAGAATGACGATATTAATTTTTTAATTGTTATTCAATGCAATCAAATTGGGAGTTCATAAAGTTAACAGATTCAATTACTCTTTTTAATGTTTCCTCTGATTATTCTGTTAATTATTTAATTAGCAAAGGTGATTTACATACTAAATCAGAATTTTTTGTTGTTTTAGAATTTGAACAAGACCAGGAAGCTCTTGTTACTTTGTTCAATTTTCTAATATTCACTTATTTATAACCTGCATATCCAAAGTAAAAAAACTCTTTACATATGGAACATTGAATATAAATGCTTTGAAATATTTTGTCATTACAAATCACACAAAGCATAATAATTTTATTTTAATGAAACCTTACAGCTATTAAAACCAGTTAAGCGAGCAAAGTGTATCATTATAAACATAATGTGTGTGGTCAATTTGAGACCAATACATGCGTTCATTAGTTGAGCAGAATTTAGATTGTATATATTGTATATATAATATTTCAGATTAATAAATTAATTACATTAAGAAGTGGTAAAAATTATAATTGACAAAAAATGTGTTTTAATATTATTTTATATTGCATTCCTTTATGTTTAGAAAAAAAAGTATCAACTTTAATAAATATGAAATTGCAATTTTAAAAAATTTAAAAATCTATTTAAATTGTATGTAGATTTTTTTACAAAAACAGTTTAAGTGACTTAATATTTTTTTATTTTTAAATTTTTAATAGTTAAACAGATTTAACATTTACTTATATGAAATATTAAACTTGAAAAAAAAATTGTTTCTAGTGAATTTATAATATTACCATTATGTGATCATATATTTTACCAGATTATGGAAATTATAGAGATATTAACATATATTTAAAAATATCGAAACAAGTTAATTATTTTTTTTCAATACATAATAAAAAAATTAGTGATTTATCCCAATAACCCTGATTAATGGATTACCATAAAAAAAACTATTTTAATAATTATAAACTAACCCTAGTACTCATACATGGATTACTTTTTATCAACACAGAAAGATAAAACTAAGCAACAACAGTGATAGAATAAAGCCCCTTATGATTTTTTTATAACAAAAGAAGAACAATATACATAAAACAATCAAAGAACTATAAATTACAGATATTAAAGCGGTTAACATTATGGAATGTATAATATCTAATAATTAACTATTTTTAAATGGTATATAATTCACAAAAATTCTTCATTAACACAGTACATAAATAAAAATAATATTGCAGCATAGTCGTTGTTAATATAAATAGGTACTAAACTATAAAATATATTATTACATTTGTCTATAACATGTTTTAACAATATTAAACTTTAAAATTTCTCACGATAATTTTTTTACAAACAAATATAACTACCCTGTACTACATTAAAAAAAATGTCAGACTTTAAAATGTATCTGATATTTTTTTTTAAACAATAACAATTAACTACACTAATAATTATAGCATTAATAACTTTTTAAAATTATAATCACTTCTTCATTTAAGTATTTATTTTATTGCTAACCCCATAACTATTGCTGTTATCACAAACGTTTCTGAGCGCATATTGTTTTAAATTATTTTATATAATATACATCTATATTATCGTAGAAAAATTTAAAACATGCGTATCACATCATGCCCATTTGTTGTTGACGAAAAACACCAGCATTACCACCACCAACACCATAATATGCATTGGTAGAATTCAATAGTCCGATTCGTTGCCGCTGTTTTCGCTGTTCTGTCATCTAAATAATATACAAAAAAATGTAATTTAAAAATAATTCCATTAATTTAGAAAAATTAAATTAAATAAACATTGTATCTTATTACAATTTACGAGTGTATATTGAAAATTAAATAATTAGTCCACGAAGTACAAAAGTGTCTAAAAATAGTACAATAACTTTACATAATAGTTTAAAATATTTTTAAGGTATCAAATATGGAATAATCAATGGCCGCACATCACTAATCTGGGTAAATTATTTTTTAATGACAAGGAATCATTGACATACCTGTTCCTTAAGCTCGGACAGCTGCTGTGACAGCAGAGCCACTAAAGTCTGTGTCATCTCCAACTGGGTCTGCAAGCCTCGAAGCTCAACTTGTTCACCCTCACTATCCACCTGGGCCGCCATTAACAGAGACATAGCTCGCAATCGTGGGAACCAGTCTAGATTGCGATCCTATAAGGATTTTACAATAACATAATGATAAATTAATAATCAATTTTCATCATATATAGAATGTATATCAACACACCTTGACCATGGCATATACGTAACTCTCAGGCCCAGTAAACTCCGTGGGGTCCTTGACTTTTACCAAAACGATAAAGTACAGATAGTGCCACATATTATGCTCACACTTTATATGTTCTTCGAAGCTCACGGTCTTATTATCAAACGCAGATCTGTTTAGACCTGCAAAATATAAATTATTGTAATTAAATAATAGACACATCACCACTTAAGCGTAAATAGTGATCATAAACACTATTCAATTAATTACTTTTATGCAAATACAAAATTAGTATTTTATCCTTACACGATGAATTAGAAAACATGACATTGCAATATAATGTATGATATAGGTGTAGAAGTGAAGGATGAATACGTACCACATACGAAACAAGTATTTTTCAGTATTTGCTCTTTTTCTTGCTTTTCGCTACGCAGGTCTGCGAACGTATCGATGATGACACCGAAAATTAAGTTTAAAACGATAATGATGACAATAAAGAAGAACAGAAGATCATACACGACACGAGCCACAAAAAGAGGTTCCTATATAAGGTGAAATAATTTAAATTAAATATAATTATTTATAATATTATAGACGGTTGCTTACTTGACTACTGGGAGCACGAAGTATATCACCTATACCTCCACCATTTCTTAGACCTTGATTTAACGTCGTAACAATACACATAATTAACGAGTCGCAAGCTCTTTCTTTTCTGTCACCTCCTCCTGCATCTACTAACAATGATGATCTTGTCAAACTGTTAGCATCATTGCAGTCAACATTTTCTCCTACCATCGTCGCTGAACAGGTCTGTTCGTTACTATCACCATTTTCTATGCATAAAAGTAAACATTAATAAGTATATACTATGATAAATTACAATTTAATGCTAAAAATATGTTAAGTTGCTATATTCTTTCTACTATAGATTCATGATAATTTGCCTTTCTTCTGACTTTAATTTTTGCCAAGGTGTAAATTTTTAAATCATAAAATACTAAAATTAATTTCGTTAATAGAAGGGTAACAATCGTACATTATATCTGTCGTTAAAATGTTTTGGTAATACACATAATGAACGCGTTAGAAATAAAATATAATATGTACGAATATAATTAAAGAAAAATTATTACATCTAGATGAGTTATAAAATGGTTATGTCCAGTGAAGTAAAACAAATATTTCTGTAGTTTTTTATTTTAATTTTTTTTTTTATTGTTTTCTATAGTATCTCAGGATTATAATAATTATATTCTATAACAATTATTGTTGTGTTAAAAATGTGTATTTTGGAATAGTACCGGAAATAACTCTGTTACTTTCATAATATAATCTAATGATAATAGCACTATAAAATATAGTATAATTATGCTCACCAAATACAACGTCGTCATCGACTTGTACGAGGAAATCATCTTTGAAGAACATGTACCCGATTATTGAAAACAGGTAAACTAATATGAGAGCCAAGACGGCGGTCAATATGATAGATCGACCATTACGTGTGACTGACCGTATGACGTTCAACAATGTTTCTTCTCGATACACGACGTCTAATAACTATATAATAAGTAAAATTTACGTCGAGTCTAACATAGTAAAATTAATCAGATTTTATATTATTGATAACTAACCAAAACGCTGTAGAAGAACGGATGCATACATAGACCAAGCACGCAAAACATAATGTACATCAGATGATAAAGTATCTCTGCTGAAACCAATATTTCGCCCAGGCGTTTAGTGAATGTACCCTGATTACCCATGATACTGATTATATGCACGCTTTTCATTACAACCTGCGGTAATTAACAAAACATAAAACACAGTTCATGATTTAATTTCTTAAATTTAGATCAGTGCTTCTCAACCTTTTTCAAACTGCCACCTCCCCCCCATCTAAGAAGTAAAATGATTTTCAACGCCCCCCACCCTTCACTTCATTAAAATAAAAATAAAAATAGTATACATAAAATGTTTATAATTGAATAATAAATAATAAAGCTAAAAATTTGAATATAATAAAAATGAAATGTAAAATTTATGTTCAAATATAATTTAAAAGGATAATTTAAATGGTTTGAAATGTATTGATCAATGAAATGTTCGGTGATTCAAAGCCAATTTTTTTTCGTTTGGTTTAAATTTATGAGATGAAACCGTAAATCTCCTCTTTTGACGATGTCTTATCGATTTCTTTTTTTTTTTGTTATTAGATAATAACGCACTACCTCTGATATATGTAGTTTATATTTCATAATCACGAATTTATTTTAGAAATCGATGAACGGAAAGCAATTACAAATAATTCTTGGTAAGTTGCTTTGAACAGAAAAAAAGTTCACCGTTCCCCCAATCGTCCAAAACGAGACCACCGCCCATTGGTACTCCTTCACTGCCCACCGGAGGACGATATCACTCCCGTTGAGAAGCATTGATTTAGATATATCGATGAGTGTTGGATGAAAATAAAAGAGTGCGTAGAGGCAACCTGTATAATAGAGCATGGACATACCGTGATTGCACCTAACAGCCACAAAGTAGGTTCCGGGCCGACAGACAAGATCAATCGGAGAATGGCAGTGACTACTAAAGTAGTACGCACTGCGGCTGTCCACCTTCGGCGGCTAGTCCTGGTTGTGAGCAACGTACGTCTTCGTCTACGCCGTCGCCGTTGTTTACGACGGAGAGACGTTTTTCGCTGCTGCTGTTGTTTTCGATCTGTACCGCTATTTTCTCCACCATCATCTTCATCTTCATCGTCGTCTTCTTCCTCGTCGTCGATGTCATCTGCATTTTCATCAACTCGAGCCCACAACAAAAACGAAGCCGCACAAATCGAAGCTAACAACCCAAGCCATACTGCTGCCGAAATATGTCCTCCTAATGCTGCAGCAACATATAAATATGAGATATGAGAGTAATATACCGATACTAAAGATATTTTACAACTTTCTATTAGTACTCCTGGTAAAAAATAATTACCTAAACGTGCCTATTTTTGTCATTGATAAAAATATTTACTATCTAAAGCAGTATTTCTCAACCGGTGTATCGCCGGGTAAGTCCAAATGTGTCGCGTAAAGTACTAGTATTAAATGACACAAAATGTACAAACATTATTGACATTTATTACAAAAATTAAAAGGTATTAGATATAATTTCTGTAATGAATAAAAATAGATTATCAGCTATTGACATTAAATCAATTTTATCATTATCGTAATTCTAATGGCTTTGGGATTCTAAAAAACTACAATCAAATCAATTTGTGAAATCAGTGAACATTTTAGATTAGGCACAAGAAGCTAGTTTTTGTATTGCCTAATCGTTAGCTTAAAAAAAAAAAATTATTTAATTGCCGAGAGTTTTATTAATTGATAACTTTTCTTCGCTGGAATTTTAAAATGTTTGATTGGGTGAGAAATCCATTTAATCCAAGTTTAGAAACCTCATATATTTTATTAAAAGAGAAAGAAGAACTTACAGAATTAATAAACGATGGCTCTGTTCAAATGAAGTTTAATGAGCTCGGGCTAGGCGAATTTTGGATTTACACAAAAAAAGAATATCCAAGTTTAACAAAATTGGCACTTTCCGTGTTATTACCATTTTCAACGTCATATAGCGAGATAGCTTTTTTGCATTGAACGAAATTAAAAACAAAAAAAAAAAAAAGGGAAAGATTAATTAATGTCGGAGAAGAGTTAATAGTAGCTTTGTCGAAGATTTTACCATGTATTGATACATTATGTAAGAAATATCAGTTGCAAATTTCTCATTTAAATGCTGTTTTATGTTATATTTTTCTTTGTTACCTATTTTTAAGTTTACATTATCAATTAATAATAAATATTTAATATTACTCATCATTTCTATTTTTATTATTGTGAGTCACAAAGTATGAAATATTTTAATAGTGTGTCGCTATAATACAAAGGTTGAGAAACTTTGATTTAAAGTATAATTTCTCAAATAAAACATAGACTTTCACATTACGTCTTAAGGCCAGAGTTGATAAAAAACATGTTTTTTTTTTATAAAAAACAAAAAAAAAACAGTTTTAATCGTTTAAAACATGTTTATTCCAATTATTTTTTTTTAATTATTTTAAACATTTTTAAAACACATTATAATCGAATTTTAAACGAAATAAAATGATTGGTAAAAGTTTATTTATAATATAATATATAAACTTAAATGAGTATTATAAAAAATTATTTAATATAATATTAAATATAGTAGCAATTAGCTACGTGTCTACGGCGTAAAACTAATAAGTAATACGAGTAAGTAATAAGTAATAATAATAATAATATATTTATTTTCCAACTAATAGTTTTCAATACAAATTTTAATATTTTCAGAATACAGTAGTTGGTCACTTCCAAGCCAACAGCTGTGTGGAAGTGAGAGTCTTGAAAATATTGTTTAAATTAAAAATAATAAATAGCACTAATAACTAGGGATAGGATTCTGTAGGAAATGCTTTTTTTGAAGGGAATATGATAAAAAATAATTCTTATATATAAGTACGTTTTGAATCGTTCTGATTTCAATGAAGTAAACTTTTTTTTGCTTTTTTCCCCAAAACCTGCTTTTTATTGCTTTTTCTTCTATTTGGTTTTTTTTCTTAATTATGTTATTACTTTTTAGTTATTAATAATAAATAAAAAGTAATAAAATACTACAAATACTAAATAGTAAAAATGTAATAACAGAAGTATGTACTATGTTTGAAATGTAAATAAATTATAAAAATAAAAATAAGTATATTGTAATTTAAAGTTAAGAATAAGTGATAATAACTAATGCAGGTGTACGTAAAAGTTTTTTTTTTTTATAATAGTGACTACTGTAGACTTGATCTTGACTATTACTTATTAGTCGTTGGATATATTTTAATACTATAACAATTAATAGAATCATTTATTTACAAATAAATACTATACTAATAAAATACATAACATTAAGCATTATATCCTAGTATCCATGCAATAATATTGTTTTATTATTATTGTGATTATAAGTGTTAGAATGTAAATTCGTGTTTCTGCGTTTTCTATTTTTCAAAAGGACCTTAGATTCAAAAACACCTAAGATCTTAATTCTTAATATTGATTAATATTTATTGATATTAGAGTTATATATATTGGTAAAATGTATTGTACTTTTTAAACTTGTTCTAAATGTTTGTCTTGTTTTATTTTATCTTTATTTATAAAACCGAGTTGTAAAATAACTGTTTAAACTTTATATATTCTTTATAGGTATTTAATTATTTTGTTACTATCATAAGGGATGGAACTTATTAATATAACTAATTTAATATTTTACAGTATCCATTGACTACTAGAATCATTCTCTAATTAACTTATAGAAATATAGTGTATCTTAAAAGTTAAAATGTAGGTATTACACTGAATTTTCGATTAATCACTTAACAATAAAAAATCAAATAATGAATTAACTATTGCAGAAAATCAAATAAAACTTGTAGATGGTAAATGATAGGCCAAAAATGATATTTTTTTCTGTTTAAAACAACTTTTTTTTTTACATGGTTTAAATCAAATGGTTTAAACTATTTTAACAAAATGGCATTTGATTAAATTAAATGATTAAAACATGTTTTAAACTACTGTTTAAAACTAAATCCTTTAAACATATCAACTCTGTTTAAAACCATGTATTGGTAAACCTCTCTATCAGGATACATACAAATTAGATATAGAATCATAAATGGTACATTTGACTTACCATTTATCATTCTGCGTTGTTGACCACTGTCGTTGTTAACACCATCGTTCCGATCGATTCCGTCGTGATCGAATGGATAGAAAAACGCAACAATCAGATTGATGATAACAGCACAATTAAACAGAATATTGCTCCACAAAGACATGTAGCTGCTGACCCAGAATAGAGATGGTCGAGCTATAACATAAAACATGCATATATTCAGCGGCATATAATTTAGTGATGGTGTAATACTGTGATTAATATTTTTGAAAAATTACCTCTCAGCTTTTTTTGCCACATCATTTCATTAAACATATCATCGGTTTTTTCAAAAAAGTCTGATACTTTTGATCCTTGATCGTCACGTTCAGCCGTGTTGTAAATTTTAATTTTTGTATCACGGGTTAGGTAATAGCAAATTTCTGGTATGGGAAATACTATTTGTTCTAGAGTCCTATCATGACGAACAATCTAAAAACAAAATATTATGTAGTTACTATATAACTACTTATTATCTCATGACCGACACAATGACATTATAAAATTATATTATTATTGCAATAGCCTCTAACAAGAATAAAAATCAGATTAATTTACTATAATGATACCTCAATCTGAGCTGTATGCGATGCATAATACACCAGCGCTCGGTTAACTCGAGGATCCACTTGGTTTTGCTGTTGTAGTAATTGTTGCTGTTGTTGTTGCTGCTCTTGTTGGTTTTGTCCACTTGCCGCTTGTCCATTCTCGACTTCACTACAATATAGGCTGTTGGGTCTTAACAATCCAGCCAATTCTTTATTGTGCTGAGCTAGCTGATGACACAATATGTAAATATTGTGGCCTACCTATAAGTGTTTAAGATAAAAAAAAAACAAGGTCTAAAAAAATTAAGCTCAAATCGGCCAGTTAAATATAATTTTATAATATTTATATATTTATTGTTTATATATAATCTTATGCATGTGATCACATTTTAATCAGATACTATTTGAGTTGTTTCGTACCTCTTTCGGAGAGACAGCACCATCATCATCGTCATCATCGTCATCGTCACCTTCAGCACTATTATTAAGAAAGGCACTAGTACTGCGACCACGACGGGTGGACACTCCTTCTCTGAGCCGTACATTTTCATCATCACAGTTGTCTTCATCGCAGCCATCGTGGTCATCATCCTCATCATCATCTTCATCTTCGCTAACATCGTCGTCATCATCGACGACACCGTAAGCGGATGCTGACTTACTACCAAGACGGCGACGGCGAGCCAATGAGGACGACGAATCATAATTTTGTTGATAGTATGCCCGACATGCCACATCGACCTGCAATGAGAATGGTAATAACAATTACATAACTATAACAAAATAACAATAGAACAATAGAAACTAATAATCACACGTGAAGTATTATTCCATAAGGTTATAATATTAAAATATCTCATAACATTATAATATGAAATATTTAATTACCAATTGCTTAGGATTCATATTGTAGAGAATACGTTCAGCATTTTCGCCGTCACCTCGACTTTCCATGATAGCCAACAGTAATTTAGATGCATTGTTCTTCAGCTCCAGTACTAGATCCATACGTGTTTTACCCAAAGGATTGATATCATTCAGTATAAGCGCTGTGATAATGTCTAACCCATTGGATTCGTGTGTAGCGATACAGTTTTGATTGTCATGACAGGGTCCCTAAATTAAATATATAGTATTATAAAAATATTTATGAAAATGAGTGACATGCGCTTATATAATTAAATACATTTTGTAATTTATAAAATATTATAATAATTAATTAATCCTAACCTGGCAGTATTCCGTAAGCGTTTCCAGCGTTTGATTAATGAGTGACACATTGTTTTCGTTGATATATAAACCCAATAGTCCTAGGCCACCAGTTGTTGAACCACATATGCAATCCAAAAACATCAAAGTCTCAGACACCAAGTTATAGTTAACTTTATTGTTTTGATTGCGCAACAAGTTCTAATAAAGGAAAATAATAATTATTAATATTTCGTAATAGTAAATATAAAATTAATATTGTTGTGATAATCATTGAACATTAATAAAATAAAACTTAAATGGTTAGTATGATATGAGTATAATTATTTGTGATAAATGGTTTTAATATAATGTAACCGTTAAGACATACTTGTAGATCACGATTGTGGTTTTCACACAGAAGCTGGAGAAACCGCAGTATGGGTTGCATAATCAAGATTTTTGGTGACAGTAGTTGTTGTTGTTGCATGTATTCCTGTTGCTGTTGTCTATGATAATTATAGTAGTATGAGTTTTCTGGTCGTTGAAGTCCATCAGCTGCAGACCCAATACCATCCTCATTTGACGTCAATGATCCTTCACCATCGTCATCATTGTCAAGTTCACCTTTAATAAGCAATAATAGTATCAATAATATTAATTAATTTATTATTGTCTATGAATTATAACCAATAATTAATTGTTAATCAAACAATATCTACCAAATTAGAAAATTTAACATAAGATTATGTACACTCAATTTAAAGGGAAAACTAACAATATTTATATATACACACAATAAGTATAATAGATATAATATTTCACCAAGCCTGGACAAGTTAATGTTAATTTTTAACCGAGTTAAGTTAATTGAAGATTTTAAAAATTTTTAAGTTAATAGTTAACCTAATTTTTTTTAAAACTTAGTTGAGTTAAAAGTTATTATTAAGTATTATTTTTATTATTTTTCAATATCTCTATAAATACCCAGTAAATGGTTTAAAATAATAAAAATCATATTATTAAATACAGGAAATAGCCAATAGATTTTCTATACATATAATTAAACTATTAGGTACTGATGAATAGAATTATGTAATAGGTGCCAAAAGTATATAAAATGTCAAAATAAATACCATCTTTTGGTATATTAATACAGATAGGTAGGTACTAAACATGTTTTTAAGATTATTAAATAAAAATAACGTGATATTTAAGAATATACTTTATTTTAAACTCTGAATACTTTTTCAGGTGACTAAATGTGAACCCATGTGGGCTATAAGGATATTGTCTACTGACAATTTTTGCTATTTATAAATATAAACATTTGAAATATAAATATATATTAGCATAACCCAATTGATTTAATTTAAAAATAACTTATTTATGGTGAAAATATTTTATAATATGTTTATGTGCTTGGAAATAGTATATTTTTCATTTGTATCTATATCAATATACGAATAATAATATAATATATTACTTTTTAGTTATTAGTATTTATCAATTTTTATTATTATTATTCTTACAATATGCCCCTATGCCGCAGTATGGTATATCTTTATATATTATATTTTAATTAAAGGCCAATTATATAGTTACATTAAAAATATCTTGGAATTGCACTAAAAAGATGCCAAAATTGTAATGAAAATTTATCAAAACTGTAGTATAAATATGTTAAAATACATTAAAATTACATAGTAAAATCATATCAAATATATAATCATTAATTACTTAAATAATATTATGGATATTTACATAATATATCCAAAGTATATTATTTTTTTTTAATTAAAATTTATTATTATATACATCTCTAAATTGTGTTTTTGAAAATCTTATCATCTGTTACTTAAAATATGTTTATTTCATGAAAAAGTAGATTTAACATCTAGACTTGTTATTAGTGCATATTTAAAATTATTTAAAAGTTAGGTGTTATATCTAAATTAATATTTTTATATCTTGCTATAACCTCAGAGTAAGTTTTAATAGTTTTATATTCTTCATTTTTTTTCCAAGACATATTTTAATTTATCTATAGCTATTTTCTCATATTTATCAAAATATTTTTAATCTCATTAAATATATTTAAACTATCAAGTAATTGGCTATTTGATCCTTCTAAACTTGTGAGTTTTGTGGATAATTCAGATAAGTATAATTTTAAAAATTCTAACTTAACTTTTAACTTTTTAACTCATTTAAATAACTCATTTGACAGACAGTATTATATTACAAGTACAAGACTATTTTTTAGATTTTTGTGAAAATAGTTTTTTATTAGTGATTGTTTCAATATAGTGTGTACCAGTAGCATTTGTCATAGATGCCATAGACAAATTTCGAACTCCAACAGCGTACGCCTGGCTGGTGGCAGCCGCAGCCTGTGCAAGTTCTTCTCGTAACCCTTCAGTCATCAAAATGCGCCGTGTTCCATGACCACCTCCAGACATCGTTGTTTTACCTACATGTATACCAGACATTTTAATTACATTTCATGGACATTTTTTTTCATAAAACTATTATAAAACAAATCTAAAAAAATCGATAGGTGTCATCAACAATTGATTCTTTAAATAATTATAGTAGAAATACCTTTTTTGCCGGGGTGCCGATCGAAACGTTGATTTTGTCGTCGCTGACCACTACGATTTTTTTGCCCACCAACACTCGGAATTCGCCGTCCACCGGCAGCCATTTCTGCCTCTTGTTGTTGTTGTTGAGCTGCTTGAGCTGCAGCTGTTGTTGCAGCTGTATTAACCGACACGATAACTGTCGACTTAATTTCGTTTTGAGCGTCACGCATTTTATCATAAAACACTCGGAAAAATAGTTGACAGCAATTAACTGATGGATCAGTAGGACTTGCGCCACTACTACGACCACCACTACCTCCACCACCTGCCGAAGCCGCGGCTGCAGCAGCAGCAGCTGTACCCGGAGGTAGTGGGGACAATAGTTTGTTGTAAACGCTACGTTGGACTACTGGATTACCACCTTCTAACAGGGCGACACCAAGCTGCACGGCCTCGAAAAATATTGAGTAAGATGGAGATGCAGATAGAGCTGCGGTTGCCGCTGAAGCTGTTGGTCCCATGCCACTAAATACTCCGCTACCGGCACCAAAGTAATTGTTGCCGAAAAAGTTTCCACCAATGCCGCCAACACCGTTGGAACCGAAGAAACCACCGACAGCCTCACCACCTCCTCCACCACCACCGGATACTGATGCTGCAGCAGCAGATGCGGCAGCTGATTTGATAATTAACTCAACTACAAGATAAGATGCTCCTTCACGGTCTAAATGGGTCTGTACTTCATGCAATGTCAATCCAGCACGTTGTAAAAATTTGGCTAAAAAAAAAAATGTCCATGAAATATACTAATCTAATAAAATATACATACTTAAACATATAATATATATAATTATATAATTAAATCAATACATTAGATAAAATTGATAAATAGATTAAATTAATTTTAATAATATTTACCTCCCGGTCCATGGGTAACTCTATGCTGTTGTTGTTGCTGCTGCTCAGATCGAAATGATATAGGAGGAGGAGGAGACCATGACGTTTTTGATGCTGGATGAGGTAAATATTGCAGGTGTTGCTGATTCATATTCATCTTTTTCGTAGAATCTCCAGGGATATTTGCATTAAGGCGACTACTAGAGGTTGTAGAAACATTGTCATTGTCTTCATCATCAGTACCATTGCAACTTCCTTTATCACCATCATGATCAGCCAAATCTATTCCACTATCGCTTGATCTATTTTTACCCATTACTCCAATACCAGAATTGCCACCATTGAAGTACCTCACAAGAAGGTTTTGTCTAAGTGCATCTCCCTAATATCAAAAGCAGTATATTTATGTTTTGGGTAAAAATATACACTTTTATTAAAGTATAAAGATGTCATAATAAATAAATAACATTAATTATAATATACACAAGCATAATATACCTTATCACCGTAATCTAAATCGATAGCCATCATTTCTTGAAGGGTTTTTAAAATTTTGACACACAATTTGTCTTCTTTTTCTTCTAGCAACTGTTCTGTATGTTTGATGAGCCTGTAAAATAACATATTTAGTTAAACTAGCAAGGATTCAAATAAATAATATTTTTTAATAATTTGTAATACCTGTTGATGAAACCAGTAACACCACACGTTGCTGCAGCTACTGCTACTGATGCTGTGTCACCAATAGCTGCAGCTGCTGCTACAGTAGGGAATAATAGTTCAGGTCTGTACAAAATATCAACGAGAAGTGAAAGCTCGGCTTGTACTAAAGGTCGGAGCTGATCTTCTAAAACCAATACAATATCCTGTAACCCTTCGACGATGCTTTTATCCAACCTTATCAACTGAAATATAGTTAGATAGATAATATCGAGATTATTATTTACTCTTATAAAATTAATCAGCGTCGATGATGATTGTTTTGCCATCACTATAACACCATCGCTATTAAAACTAATAAATTGCAATAGTTAAAATACCTGAGACTGCGATCTTTCAATCATTTTTTTAGGTGTAGACTTGGCTGCTAGTAACCATTTGGTTGTTTGCCTTCTAAACAACAGATCCGATGGTGATGTATTACCCGATGATCCTCCTCCAGCTGTTGTTTGCGACTGTTTGTTTAATATACTGCTGATTTCAGATTGCAAATCAGAGCGTAATTCGATTGGTATGTTTTTAGCTGGTGTTAAATTTAAAAATAAATATGTTGTATATTATTTAGATGGATTAAATAATTTATAATTACATTAAAAAAATTAATAATAATAATCAATAAAACGGTTTGGTTTGGAATTATAGCAAGTATTTTTTAGAGCGGAAAAATAATACATTATATCAAGTGCTTCATTATTTTTAAAATTTAGTTACCATAATTAGATAATATACGTATTGTGTTCTCTATTTTAAACCGTTGTTGGACTGTTAAATATCCAGCAGCAGTCAGTTGCTTATGTACCCGAACTGCGGCTTGTAGTAGCTGTACGAATATTGGTTGTCTGGCCTGTAACAAGAATAGGACAAAAATGCCCGTTTAATATTACAATTACAATAAGTGGTTTGTACATATATGGGTTGTTACCATGGCCATGACTAGAGTCTATTATACCACAGTACTCAGCCGTAGAAGTAACTCACCTGCACTGCCGCGGTTGCGTTGCTATTAGTGGCCAAGGCAGCGGCTGCTAAGACCGATGAAGATGAACCAACGTCGTCGATGCTTGTGCGCATTCGATGATGGTTGGATGAAGATGCAGACACGGCGGCCTCCGTAGCTGCTGCTGCGGCCGTCGATGAAAATGGACTACCGAAAAACGAACCGATTACTGTCATTAGAGAATCACACACATATTTGGTCAGCTGGCGATGTGATTTCGTTCGAGTCAAGTAGGGAACGGTCGATGTAGAGTTTGAGTTCTTCGTTAAAGCCGCAGCGGCTACTTGATCCGCTACACGATTCATGTCGGGTAGAAAACTTTTTTCGAAAATTGTCCACATGTGATTCGACGCGTATATTTCTTTCATCTCAACCTCGGTATCCACATAACAGTGATTCAAAAAGTTAACGTATGCTTCTTTTACCTATTTCATAAGAACTCATAATTATTAAAATTTATTTATTTTTTTGACAACACGAAAACAGTGTTCATGAGAGACAATTACCTCCGGTATGCAGTCAGGATGCGACACCATAGCTACAATGTCGTCCAAGGGCAACAGGCTGTGGCATTTTATTTCTGTGTACACATTTTTACCAATTGTACAATCAGCCAATAGTTTCACTAATTCAATATGGTATCTGTAAGAGACATGTTTTGATAAATGTGATGTATGTGAGAACATAATTTAATATTTCACCTATTATTATAACCAACTATAAAACAAATTTTAGATTTTGTTATTAAAAATATAAATTCGATTGTTTCTATATTTCTACAATTGTAAATTTAATTTATAAGTAACATTCATTTTTTATTTCAGTTTTAGAAAATATTTGTACTTTTTGAAGAGAGTTTATTTAAATTTTTTTTTTTTTTACAGAACACTAAATATATTTTTTATGATTAGTTATCATCTATTAGAAATATGTATATAAATTAAAACTTGTAATCATAAAACATCATTATTAAATAATATATATCTAACTTAGTATATTTTAATCAAAGTTTATTTATATTATATAGTTATGTTTATTATCTACTCGTATAATATTTAAGACAGAACCTTTTCCATATAAATTGTTTGTAGTTCACTAATATGCATGAATTGTACATATTTAAATACTTGGATTAATTTATACTATTCATTTTCATTATAAAGTATAATATACTCTAATATTTTTGTGATTATAACAATCATATTGTACGTGTATTTTCAAGATAATGTTAAAACCCGTTTTTTAGATGGGTTCATTAAATATATTTTAAAAAAAATACTATTGAATTATGATTATTTTGTGAACAGAAAATAATGTTTAAATATGGAAAATTAATAAAATATAAATTAATAACAAACCGTAGAGCACCATGATCATTATTGTCTTCGTATTCTGATTCTTCAACCACTCTTTCACGTTGCAAGCAGTCTTCTGTAATCATCGTTTCCACTACTTCTTTAGTTAATCCTTGTACACCATCATCAATTACTTTTTGATTCTCTTGTGATTTATTAGAACTTTTGAAGTTCTCTGATGCCATTACCAGTAGCTGTAGGTCTTCTTGGTATTGTCTATCACGTTCATTTCGCATCATATCAACAAATTGTTGAAAAGACGCCTTATTGTCATTGTAAAACACCAGCACATCCTCGCCAGCATTAAGTAACTATTAAAATACAATTAATTGCATGTTATTAAACAAAATTTAGAATACTCGAATAACGTTAAAAAGATATCAACGTTGAAAAATACCTCCGTAAAATAAAAAGTAGTTATAAGTTGTTTGCAGTCAATAAATATAAGTAATATTTTGATTTTTGTCACTTGTATGCTACATATACACTTCCATATTCTACTATGGTGGTATAGCTCTTAATATGAAGACATAGAGAGCAAACAAATGTTTTTGTTATCTCTGTCTTACATACATGAACCATAGTGAATATTTACTTAGTAAACAAGATTATATATGTTAACAATAAACCATGAAATTGCAGTAATGGTTTTAATGATATTTCAGGCGACCTAAGCTCACTAAAAGACAATGGTTTATGCTGTAAAGCAGTAGCACAACCAGGATTGGTTTTCGGGGGCGGGGGGGGGGGAGGCTGTGAATTTGTAAAAAATAAGCATTTTCTGCAGGTTTTTGGTACGGATAAGGAAGTAAGATTAAGTTAGATTTAAGAGTAAAATATTTAAATTACAAATTAAATTGTTCAACTTCTATTTCATATTGTGATACCACAAAAAAAAAAGTATTATACAATCGACTATCGAGAAATCGTAGTAGCAAGGCTATTGATGTTATAAAGTTGAACGGAATATTACTATACGTTCCATATTGTCATAATTATAATAGGTACTTATACTTATAATTGACATCAATAATAATACGAATATTCATATTTTAAATTAATCAGCCATTTCGCGTGTTCAAGATAAACCATTTTTTTCTTACGTAGAATTTGTAAAAATCTCAGAACAATGTCGGGGGGGTCACAACCCCCAAACCCCACCACTAGTTGCGCCGCTGCTGTAAAGACATACTATAAAGCTATCTTAGGATTTATAATTATTAACCGATTACTTTTTTAATCATCTAAATTTATGTTATACTTCCAATGGTTATATAAAATATCATCAAAAAAGAAGTTTTATTCACCGTACTTAAAGAAATTTTACATTACAAGTCTTACTATAGAGAATAAGTGATAAGAAATACAATTAAAAGAAAAATTGAAATACTTGGTAATAATTAAGGCATATGTGTAATAGAAGAATTAATTTTTATTTCTAACGAAAGCCTTATAGACAAGGGTAAGAATAAAATGAAAATCTACTAAAAAATAACTACAGTATTACTGACAACAGATTTAAAAATAACTTAAATGTCAAAATAAATCAAACTAAATGTATATTATTCAAATAAAAAAAAAAAATCACTGATTTCAATTATTACTGTCATTATTAAAGTGATGATAAATTGCAGAATAATTACGATGGTACTACTAAATTTGTGATACTTCCTAACATTATGACAGCAGTAATTATTTAAAATGATAATAAAGTTACAGGTAACAAAAATACATTATCATTGTCAATTGCTTGTTATTAGTTAATTATTACTTGAATATATTGAAAATGTAATCAGTTTTAAACCATCTGACATTGTTGCTGTAAAATAATTGTTAAATAGCTTATTTTCAACATTCCAATTAATATAATTAAGAGTTGTTTGACAAGAATCTCTTTAATTCTATTAGGCACATACAAAAGAAAGAGGGTGGTTAAGAGGTACCAACCCATCCAAAATGCAGGAAAATTATTAAACATTTTTTTTTTTATAGAGTAAAAAACATATATAGATTATATAAGTATAAAAATGTACAACCTATAACCCTCAAAAATAATTTTTTTGTGTACATGTCTGATTCTTGTTTATAATATTTTATTGAAAACATACTTCTTGCATAACCATATCTTGTGATTTTCTTATAAATTGCTGCTTTTGTATTGCTACTGCCGCGGTTGCTGCTGCCCCATGTCGATGCTTTGGACTACCATTGTAATAGTAGTTTTCGGGTTCTTGAGCTGTCCCATGTGGTCCAGTTCCAGAAGCAGATCCAGATTCAGGTGAGCAACATCCTACTATAGTTTGAAAGAATTCCAAGTACTCTACTCGTTTACCTTGTGACTCAATACAGTGGATGAAATGCTGAATAACTTTATCACCACCACCGCCACCAATTTCGTTACATAAAACCGGATTGTCTTTAAATATAGCACATACAGTGCGCGCGTCTCGAATCTATTTATATAATATAATTTATTATATTATATTTTTATTATTATCAACTAATATACCTCAGGGTTGAGAAATAGATCCAGATGAGCATGCAGTAAATGCTGGTTTTGAGGGTTTCCTAGACAAAATGATTGAAGGAATTCATGGGCTAGCTCCATGAGGCCATCCATGCGCCGATCACCTTTACGATCATATGGTACCTGAAGGAGATCTAACACTACCGTGTGTACGCCTACATTGCGTAACAATCGCTGTTCGTGTTTTCTAGGTTTTTTCATTGCTGTTACTGTGTTTGTAGCTATATATTTTACCGGAATTGAGGATAGACTTGACTTGGAAGACGACGGCTGTAGTCCATTGCCAGCAGCACAGGGTACACGAGTTACACACAGTTCATTCATTCGAATCAAAATCTATAAATGTGAAATATGATGATGGAGAATGTTAATCCAAAATAAAAATCAAGTACACAGATAATATCGACATTAGTATTTAGTAACCAACACATTATTAACTTACTTTTTGTATTTTTTTATATTCATCATCTTCATCTTCTACTTCGTCATTTTCATCACCATTAACTGTGGAAGTGTCACCATTTTCTTTAATTGGTGGAACCGTATTCTTTAAATCGTCTACTAATTCTGCGGGTTGTGAAGATGTAGTCGCGTCAATCGACGACGTATTCATCACTGGTGTAACATTTTCTAAAGTCGTATTAACTTGGTTGGTAACTGATGACATTTGTTGCTGATGTTGATGTTCATCACTTACACCATGTTGTTGTTGATTTACTACGGTTGCCGAAACGGTTGTAGGTTTATTAGATTTGTACACCCATAGCTCAGATTTTTCGACACTTTGTCGAAGTACATCTAGATCTGATTTGATCTGTTTATATGATTCAACGTCAGCGTCCGATACAAGGAGTTGTACCTATTTGATTGAAAATCAGATATAAGTATAAATAACATAAGGCATATGAACGATTGTCTGTTACTGATACCACTAATTTGCAAATATAAGTTGGGCAACGTACTTGTTTGAACGCTTGTAATACTTCTTGTCGCTGGCTGAAATGCCGGAATAACAAGTGTAATGCTCCTGAGATAAGGGCAGGGTAATCATGCATGGTCAAGTGCAAGAGCACACGTAAAAACATACGGCCACCATTGTCATCAAGATCTAGAGCGGCACCACCACACTCTTCGCTGTTAAGTTAATCACACACACACAAACAAATACACACGTAAATTATCTCGTTAGGTAGCATAAAGAAATACTACAATTAGAAAACATCAAACCAAACATAAAGTGGTAAATAAGATAAATACCTTTCACCAAATATGCGTTCAGCTTGAGCACCAACCCTCTCCAAATCGATGGATTTGTGGTATTGATGGTCGATGAATGCTGATGAAGCAGATGGCGGAGCTGTAGACGATGTTGTTGTAGTACTAGAAGACGAAGTTGGTGATGTAGAACTGGCACCTATTTCGGTAGAAAGCTGTGATGTGGTTGGAGTGGATGACGCAGCGATTGCAGCTGATTTTTCGATTTCATCGAATTCTCGTTTAAAAATCGAAAGTAAACAACCGATACGATAATCCAAGCGCACATCTAATATAAACTATAAAGACATAATATTTCACATGGTTATATCATTATAAATACAAATATTTAAATGAGAAAAAAATTTTCATTAAAAATAACATATCTGGTTCAACCAATTTTAAAAAATATTATCTAACCTGTAGTATCTCAATAATCTTTAATTTGGTATCCATAACCAGAGGATACGCTTCGCCACTAACAATCGTAGTACCACCACCTCCAGAAGTTTGTTGATGCAGAAGTGACGACGAAGAAGAACCGGTCGTTGTTGTGGTGACCATACTTAGAGTGGACTTCGATTTATTCAGCAATGGTGGCGGAGGCCTGCGTCCACCACCTCCACCCAACGTAAGACCAGTTACTACGGCACCCACATCACCGATGGCTGACCTCATAGCACCTATTCCTTCTGCTATAACGTAATTAACAAAGTACGTCGATTATTAATTATAACCATCAGTTTCCTTGAGCATCCTTGTAACATTATGATATGGGCACTAGAATAAAATTATTATAAAATCTGACAACTTACTTTGTACATCTGTTGCTGATGTTGTCGATACTGATGCCGTAGCGCTGACAATATCACTACCACTAGCACGTCCGATAGCAGCAAAGTCGTTTTCTGATACACAATCCAAAATGCTTAATAACGTTTTTGTAAGTCGAAGCAAGTCACCAAAACTATAGAATCCGAAATAAATCAAGTCTCTAGCCAACTTGACGACCTATAAGAATACAAAATTAATAAATATTTTTATGATAAATACCTAACTAGAAATGTTTGATGTATTGTTAATTGTTGTTAATTATTTTCTTTAAGATATTTGTTGTATCTATAAGCATTATGAAAATTATAAGTGATGCATTCTACAAAATCACTATTTTTTGCTGACAAATTATCTACAAAAATTATTTTTCTATTATCATTAGATTATTTTTTATAATGAAAAGTCACATTCATGAATATTGGTAGAAATAATAATATTTTACTTTAAGATTTATAACATAATAGGTATATTTTACGAATTTGTTAATGATGAATAAATATAAAACTAAAAAAATAATGTAGAGAAACAGAATATCCAACAGATGGAATTTGCTATATACAAAATTATAATATACAATTGTTTATTAAGAAGTGAATCTATATGCAATTATTTATACACTAAGCAATATATTATAAAATTTATGCAATTAATTCTTAATTATGACTCAAAAAAATTATTTTATGATACATTTTTTTAAAGAAATTATATACAAGACAGTTAATGACAGATGTATTAAGTTGCTTTGTTAATTATTATAAAATGATTAAGTGTAAATTGTATGTTAACATGTTTTAGTAGTACATCATGAGCTTCACAGGTATTGAATCCTTGGTTATTTTATATAAAAATTGGTCATTTTAAAACTACTTACATAACCATAAGTTATATTCTGTCAATCTACATTTTCCATTTTAACATATTGTAATAAAACAATAAATAAAAACATATTCAAAATAAATCTACTATTTAATCATCTAAGTAATATGCTTGTTATTTAAAAATATTAAAAAAAAAACATATTATAATTTAAAATATATGAATATGAACACAAAACTATAAATTAATATGAAATAAAGAATGAAATTATCTGATATAGCTAATAAATTTAAGAACAAATTTTACAAGAATAGAATTCAATGATTGATTTATGAATAAAACTTTCTGATAAAATAAGTTAATATGATAATCTTTTTAACAAGTCATTTATAATACACAAATAAAATGTTTGACATTTTTTTTTATTTTTTAATTCAATTAATATTTGTAGTAATATCAACATATAATATTTCTTGAGAACAGTGTCTTAAAAACTTATAAAAGAAACAAAAAATAAAAATAACCTCAAATGTTAACTTGTTTTGTTGAGCATCTTGGAAATTCCACATTTTTGCAACCACATTGAAAAGATAATCTTCAACAAATGCTATAGTTGAGCTGAATCGAGTGCGTACCTGTTGTGCAGCAGCTGTGTCATTATTTAACCGTCTGTTATTATCGTAACTATGGCAATAATTAAGAAAAACTCATCTCAATACATTTAACATAAATTACCAATAATTTAATCAATATATATTTATATATATACACACTCATCAATGCTTATCTTCAATGGGATCTCAGACCATAGACGGGCATACTTGACAGGCGTGACAGGTTCTTGAGGGTCACGATCTACATGCAAGTGCAACATAAGCCGACAAAATGAAGCACGTAAATCGTAACGGACGTTTTCATCAGCCATACATCTGAAAATGTAAAAAAAAATGTAGAAAAATAAAACTTATTTAATAGCTTTATTGAAAGAATAAGATTTGATTGGAGCCACTCAGAACTCACTTAAGTATCAAATCAATATCTAAGTGTGGTGAAAGGTTATTTAGTGCCAAGTACTGTCTATTTAAGCACATGTTTGAGAAAAGGTCTAATTGATGTCGATAGTACTCAAGTAGATTCCAATCTTCAAAACCACTACAATTTTTTGCAGTTGCTGTTGCTGCTGAGCCAACTTTGTTTTGTTGATGGTGTTGCTGTAACTGCTGCAGTTGCCAACGTCGTGCATCGGCTGACAAGCTAACCAACGATTTAGAATTCTATTTTCAACGGAAAAAAAAATTATACATATATAATGTTAATCTATAATAATTGTTGGCTGTTGCCAAAAGGTAGCAGCAACAGGTATATCTGATAGTTGAGTATCAAACCTTTCCATTGTTCCAAGACAACATAACAACATGATCATCATTCAAGTCTGAATCAGAATTATCCGAGAAATCAAGATTTCCAAGATCATTGATATTCATTGGAGCTTTACCACTATTACTGTGATGGCGCTGATGTAACCGTTTTATCATCCTATGATAAAAAATATAAATAAAAAATAATAAATACATGGATAACAAGCTTAAATGAAGTTATTCTCTAACTATTATAGTTAGAAGAATAAATAATAAAGTTTTTAAATTTATACCGTGTTTCAATTAAAATATCTCTGGAACCACTTAGCAATACACTTTTACAAATCAACTCTTGTGTGATAGCAATAGCCTTTTTATTTGATATGCATAAGTCACTGAGATAATCAAGGAATCTGGGTGCTGACTGACTGAATCCACTACCACCTCCACCATTTTTCATCCGTACCAAGCCCACAAATGTTTCAATTTCAGCTGCTGTTATATGTTTTTCTAGCAGTTTACGGTTATTGTGTAATAACGCTGTGATAGTATCCTCAGCTAAGATATCTAAACCGATTTGTTTTTGCATGAACCCAAAATGTTTGGCTATATATTCCTGTAAATTATAATATATTAACAATACTAGTCTTAAATTTTAGATAATGATATTACTCATATAGTATAGATTAGAGATAATTTAAAATAAAGTTGGCATACCTGATTTTTGCGATAATCATGCTGGCTTAGTCGTAATATCCGGTAACATAGTCTGAACATATATTTATAAGCAGCAGCATACTTCTGGTTATCTCCATCTGGACATTCTGTTGTCGTTGTAGCAAAAATAGCAGAGGCAGCTCCATTACCAGATTCTACTTGTGCACCACTACTGTTATTATTGTTACCACCACTACTAGAGTTGATAACATTGTCCATAACAAATGGAGCTTGAAGTATCTTGAAGAGTTGTTTAAGTATGTCCTGTTCACGAAGCAGTTTTTGTCGGTCTCTATTAAGAATAATTAAAATAGTAACAATTATGATAAAAAACAATTAGTTCAAATTATACCTGTTTGGATTGGCTACCACTAACTCCAATGCTTCAGATTTATTTTGTTCATTTTCCATATCTGCCACAAAATATACTATATCCTGAAGTAATGTGGTAACAGATCTTTAGAAAAAAAAACAGATTATGAATACTTTCAGAGGAAAAAATACCATTAATACAATAAATTATTTATAGAAAAAAAACCTTACCGTCTTTCGTTAGCAGATATTGAACCATGTTCTAGTAACTTGGCACTGTTACAAGCTAACACCTTGCACGCATCATTGGCAAAGTCCAAGTCACGTACCTCAGATGGTGATACAGGTATCAGAGCAAACGCCTCTTTGTCGTCTTTAACAGGAGCACAGCCAACCTTTTAGAATTATAAATCAAATTTTAGTTACAATAAATACAAAAAAATTATGTATTCAAAATATTTAAAATATATTAATTACTTTTGACATGACTGGTTTGTCCTCATCTTTATCAATGGGAATTGAAGTGCTGTGAACCCATGTATTAGTACACAAATGGTGAAGACGGACATATGATGATTGAGGCACTACTGAGTCCAAGTTAGCTGGCTGTTGATGATGTTGTAGGGTGGTTATTACTGGTGTACCATATCCACCACTATAACCTGAAATAGCTGGTGTAGAAGAAGACCCACCATATGCTGTAGTGCCTCCAGACTGTAGTTGTCGAATAGCGAGCCGATTACCACTTCGACCTTGATATAATGTTGTGGGATCCAATTCAAATAATGATGATATCTCATTGGAATGTGGTACCGACACCAGGTGATATACAGGCCCACCATGAACGTCTATACATAAATACAAAATATTTATTGTCTAATAATTTTATACAATTTATAAATTGATAATTTACCTCTGAGCTTTGATCGCATTTGATCCATAGTTTCATCATCATCCACCTCAGCTGCTAAATAATGCCCAGTGGCTAAGTGTTTGAATCGAAATAAACAGTTCCAGTGACCAGCACCACCACGACATGGATCATGCTGCACTACCTACAAATGTACATTTAATTTAATACAAATTCTTTATGTTAAAAACAACACTAAGGTATTATTAATAAAAGTAAAATAATAGAATGACATAAATTGTATTCATCATTAAAAAAAAACTATTTATTATTTATTAACACTTGTATTTTTGTAATTGTTAATGTAAATTAAGTAATTATATAGCTTTAATCATTAGTGATTCATTTAACATTTTAATTTAAAAAAATAAAATAAAATTTAAATTAAAAGACTAATAAGACTGGTAATGACCTAAAAATAAAACATAAATTATGTTACATGTCATATCAAGTATTCATAACATTTTTATTATATAAAAATATAATCAAAAATAATACAGAAAAATTATTCATTCCCATGTTAAACTGACTTTTATAAAGTAAATATAGGAAAGTAATTAAACAAACCAATATAAATAATTAATTTTTTTATTGTTTTCAATTTTATATTTAATTTATTAAAAGTATTTAATAAAAAAAGTAAAACTATAGTTAAATATTGGTTGAAGTACATAATATTTTACTTGTGATTGTTTCTAACAGAAAATGATTTATTATAACAAAAATGAATAACATATTTTAATATAAATTTGTTAGAAATATTATTTAATTCTATTTAACAAATAAAAATAGAGCAGAAGGAATGAAAAATAAATTCTGTTTCTTACAATTAAATCTAATAAAGCCACAGATACATTCAGATGATATACATCAGTAATAGTAAGAATACCTTTGGATTCTATAGAAAAATATCATATCACAGCATTGTAATAAACAATAAATTTACAGCACCAAAAGTTAAATTAATTCACAATAAAATACCTCCACTTCCCAAAGGGCTTTACTCGATGTAGCTGCTGTAGCAGATGTTCGTCCTGTTGTACGCAAAAATACGTGCTGTTGTCGTTTGTATTCATCCATAGTAAGAAACTTCTCTTGTTCAGCATGAAATAACCGAAGAACATCACCTCCTTTAAGAACATCATCTTGGTTATCTCGGTGCTCCATGAACAGTGTAACTTTCCATGATTGTTGTTGATACTGTTGAATTTGTTGGTTACCATGTTGAACATGATGATGGATAGAACCGGTAGCCGCATTGACAACATTTACCTATAAATCACAAAAACTAATTATTAAATTATAAACACTATAAATATATAAATGTTCTTCACATCATATAAATATTACATAAGTGAAATAAAATACTTAAATTATAACTACTGTAATAAATTATTGATGTAATTCATACTTAAAATTTGATTACACTTATAATAGCTGTTACATTTAATTTATACTGGTAATTTAACTATAATTTTCTGTTATAACTTACTAAATATATCAAGATTTTGGTAACTATTAACTTATATATCATTAAATATTAATTATATAATATTAATATTATTATTTATAACATTTTATTTATTTACAAATTACTCGTAATTTAATGTATAACTCGATTAAGTGTTCTGCATTTAGCTATACTATGAATAATGTGATGATATAATCACACCGAACAATTTATTATTTATCCATTTATAAGAAATTATTTGTAGTATAATATTTGTGTTTTCCGTTGAATGTAAAATACAGGTATGAAATATATGTAATGTAATTTTATTAGACTTAAAGCAATATTTTAGTACTAAACCACACTATTGATGTCTGTTTCATGAAAATTTAATTTAAGAAAGCAGTAGTGAATAATATAATATGTATATATTACATATTATTTGGTGGTTTAGATAATTAATTATGTTTCATTTTTCAATTTTAAAGGTTAAAATGTAGATTTATAAATATATCATATTGTCTCCTTTTATATTAAGCAATATGTTTATAAATATTGATAGAAATCTATTATTTATCAAAAATGATTGACATGGATTTTAAAATTAAAAATATTATTCAATCAACTTTATAAGTGCATGATAATAATTTAACTGCTAACCTCTTTGCAACCTGGATTGTCCGGGAGCTCATAATTTCCAGCTACGTGTAAAGCTACTTGTTGTTGCTGGTTGTGATAGTAACTACCGCCTCCAAAACTGCCACCACCAAATGTACCAATGCCACCGAATCCTCCTCCTCCTCCATATCCGCTGCCTCCACCATATCCAAATCCCATTGCACCGCCCATTGCTCCACCTAAGCCAGGTGTTCCGAGTGATGCACCACCACCGCCTACACAGGCTGGTACCATAGTGACTTTATCACCAAGAACAACATTGTCGCCAGTAGAACGCAGCTTGTAGAATGGCATAATATTCCACCATGATCCTTCATTACCATTTGCATCCAAGTACACACGCATAGCATTTTTCTCTAACAAGGCAGGTAGACGCTTGTTGACGGTTAAGTATTTATTGGATTTCAGATGCAAAAGCTATTATCAGAATATAACATTAGTAAGTATTTTCAATAAAATATTATAGAACTATTGTTTACCTGGACAACATTACCATACTGGATTACATTTCCCAAGATTTTACGGTTTTCAGATTCATTTTGTCGCTTTTCAATTTCTGCAGCATGCTATAAATGACAAAAAAAGTCTATACTAGATAAACCATGGTATTTTGTGGTTTAATATTAAATTAATACTACTTCTAATATAACTATTAAGCCAGTTGGTATAAAATATTATCATTCAAAAGATTAACTACGTACTAATTATTTATAAAATTAAATACATTTAAATATAAATGAAGTAAAATAAATCAAACATAATACATATATATATATATATACAAAGGAATATTAAATGTTAAATTATTATAATTGGTTGAATCTTTTTATTTTACTGACATATTATGCTTTTAAACTTAATAGCATTAGATTAATTATAAAAATGTATTATATATCACTGAAATTAATAAAATTTGTAATTGTATTTAAAAATACTAACATGTAATCGCTTTATTAAAACCGTATCAGTGGCCATTGGAGGTCCAACAGCAGCTGTTGGCCCTATCGGTCCAACACCTGGTGGAAATCCATTACCACCTAAACGTTGTTGCTGTTGCAGCTGTTGCTGTTTGGCAGCTTTCCAAAACTGTTTCTGTGCAGAATATCGATTCATAGGGCATATCATGAACAAGCAATCTTAAAAAAAAGTATACATTTTACACATAAATGAATTACTTATTATATTGTTTAGTACTTACCCCTGAATTTTTTAGGTGGATTCTTAAGATCACCAGCTTCAGGGCATACTACAACACGGTCATCTACTAGCCTTTTAAATTAGAAAATAATACAAAAATTATATTCTGAATTATTAACGTTTAAGAAACATTGTGTCAAGATCAATATAATAATATAATATATATTTACCCTAATGTGCTCAAGAATCCGGACACAGTGCCTTCCGAGTATAGTGACACCACGTCACCCAGGTGTAGAAAGCTGCTTGCAGCTGATGATGATGAGGAGGCAGCCGCTGCTGCTGCAGAAGATGCTGCAGCTGCAGCTGCTGCAGCCGCGGCTGCCGCAGTGGCAGCCGAAGGCTGATGGCCATAGGCACCACCTGATGACATCATTACGTTGCTGATTTGTGGCTGTTGCCCACAACGACACTACTACTGTTTTTGCTTGTCGCTATCTACCGCGGCCGAAGATGAAATAATCCATTGTAGAGACAGAAGTGGACACGCTACAAACACGAAAAATCGAGTTAGAAAAAAAACACTCACTCGCTGAGCACTGTCCAATGGTATTTATAGATGTAAACAGAACGCTGGTGGTTATACTCGACGTTATTTGCGTATAATTGAAATCTCGATTTATACGTATGGTCGGTTTTTATAGCGTTCTGGTAGTTAGTGAAAACGATAAAAAAATCATAATAACAATGGGCCGTCGTCATCGCGAGTGTGCGGCTCCGATAACCGACGACTTTGACACCGGCAAATAGGTGTGACGGGTAGGTAGTAAAACAATTTCGTAATCAATATTTACCGAATGTCGGCGGCGGCGGCGAGACAACGCGATTTTTATTGCGGCAGGTGTGTCGTCGTCGTGCGATACGGGTAATGCGCGTACGTGCGGCACGCGTGTAAATATAAACGAACGCGCAACAGAGCGCAATCGGAATGTACAGACTCGAGCGCAAAAAGGCAAGACGGTCCTGCGGTGACGATGGAAGTGCGAATAATATGTGCCCCACGAACCTTTTTCCGTCCCGTGCTGTTGGCGAGACGGAGTCAGTAACAACACTCGCAGTGGTGGTGATTTCCGCCGTTCGATCCGCTTAGATCGTGTGCATTACGTGACATTCGCGTCACCCTGACGCGGATATGGGCGGTTGTCGGACGGTATCGCGCGGCGTTCAATCAACTGGACCCGCGGTCGTCCGATGTCATTCGACCAGGACCGCGAACCGCGCGTCGCGTTGCAGCCGATGACGACGGATTGAACTCGGCGATGTTCTCGTCGTCCGTTGTTGTTGTTGTTGTTGTTGTTGACGGATTTATTACAACGCGCTGCACCGTGCGCGTTCCGTTTGCTCGCCGAACGTTATCAGTACGAGACGACGACGACGACGACTACGTGGTTATCAGCAGTCGTCGTTATCACGGATTCCGTCTCCCGTACCGACGAGTGTGTTAAGGGCCGTACGTTACAGCCGCAACGCGACCTACTTCCGACCGCGTATCGGTACGGCTTGTTTTTTTTTTCTATTTTTTATTCATTCTCCTTCTCACTCACTCTCTCTCTATCTTTCTCTTTCTCTCCCCCATCTGTTTGTTTATTTGTTATTAATAAATTTTATTCCGCTTTCATCTTTCCACACTATAATGATGCGGCCATCAAACGACCGTGTCGAATACGACCTCGGCCGTCGTTTCGCTAACGAATCGCAAAAGGGAATATGATCCTACGTCGTGTTCGTCGCGTTAACGCTGCTATATATTTTGTACTCGATTATGTACAAACCTACGACGACGGCGGTGACGACGACGACGACGACGACGACGACGAAATGTCCAAACAACGACGATTCGGTCAACACGAACCATGTTATGTAAGTGTTATCTGATGTCGTTTTACTGCATTCGTTTTTTTTCCGTCAGTGTGTATGTGCGTACACGACTAACGTCACAGATAAACCGTCGTTAGATTGTGTGTTTTCCGTGTTTAAACAGAGACATCCGATAAAAACATAGACGAGCGCGTTATCTGCGAGCCTAAAGGTCGTTCGTCGTCGTCAACAAATTGTTGTTGTAACACTAATGCTGCTCACCATAGTCCAATAACGTACAATAACATTTTACGGTTGTCGCCACACAAAGGATCGTGGAAAACAATGTACAACCGTTGTTATGATATTATGATGATGTTGCCGTCGATTTCGAATTCGTTACCAAAAGTAAATTGGAGAGAACCGACGGTACGCCAAGTACGCGATACAATTATTCGGTGTTACGTTCATTATACAGGTACTCATTTGTACGTCCGCGCGCTAATCGTGATGTTATCGCAGTCGTCGCGGTCGTTATCAAACGGCAAACAATACGGCAGCTGGCTCGGCGTGATAAGAACTTGGTAGATAATAATAATTTTCCCATCTACGGGCGGCGCGCGAGTAGTTCGTGGAAGTGATGACGGCGAGTGGCAGTAGCGACGGCCCGCGGTACGCACGACGGCCGGAACTGCGGCGGCGCGATTCGTATTCCGAGTTGGCGCGCAGGCGTTCGCGGACCGTTGAGAACTTTTCCGAAACTATCGATTGCTCGTCGAGCCGGGTCACTATCGATTGTTACTCGCGTATCTCGTAAGAACGTACGCCGTATACCAAAGTATACCTAAGTAACAATAGCCGCAATTGCCAAAGACACACGGGCCGAATGTTTGAAAATAACAATATTCCACATTCGGCCGTATTCGCGAGCCGACAGAAACCCGTTTCGCATTTCAAAAAAACTCCGATCCACCCGCTCCGCTCCTGCCTTTCCTGTCCTCGAAACGACGGACGTGTTCAAAAACATCGAGCGACTACCTATCGATGGGTCGTCGCGACCATCGAGCGCCGTTCGATACATGGAACTATTTCAGCGGCTCCACACGCTCACGTCATTCGTATCGCGTGCACCGTGTTCTCCGGACTGTCATCGCCTTTGCAGTGCATCTCGATCCGTACTCCCGTTACGTCATTTCGGGTCTAAACACTTTCGAATTTTCTTTTTTTTTTTTTTCCGTTCTAAGACGCGTTATACGCTCGTCTGAAAACGTAGGTAGTAAAAACGTTCGCTAACGATATTCCTATCTATCGAACTCTAGAAAAACGTTACCGCACAACACCTTTGTTCATGAAACCTGTCGACTACAATTAATAAATAAGGTATTGCAATTTTCGCCCTAAGCGCAGTCCTGGGCCACATGGTTATTCGGTTCGTTTTTCTTTGCATGCCCGGCTATTCTGGGATTCCGACCGTTTCCTACCAGCTTCGTCGATATAGATGTATGCACAATGAAATATTTTTTGACGGATTCTACTCGATAAAAATAGACGATGCGCACCAGTGGTGCCGAATGAAATTGAAACTGCCAATTCAAATAATTAGATTTACACAACTACTTCATCCAATTTACCACCCTGTCAAACACCCTAACAATTTTTTTTAAGTACCTATAAATAAATGTACTATTTTGTATGGAAAACGTTTTCCATGTAATTAATTTGAATAAGCTAATGATCATTTTTATTATTATTATTATTATTTTTTTTTAATATTACAATTTTCCAGGCGGTTCAATTGAACTACCTGAAGTATGTATTCTGCGCCACTGATGCACACTAATACGGTGTCGTAAAAGCAATTTTCCCTTCAACTTTCCCTCGCACCGCCCCCCCCCCCAATACCCGCCGCATTGGACAGTGACCTATTAACCGACTGTGTCATCGTAGTCACCGTTCTGTCCCGCTACAGGTTCTTCTTGTGTGTGTCATCCCGTCGATTTTTGTTCCCTGTATCCGCCGTCCAGCAGGGCGCTAGTGCGCGCAGTCGCGGATCGCGTCTTGCTCGTGAACCCACCCAACGGCGCCGTCGCCGACCCGAGTACCGACCGATCACGCGTATCACCAACTCCGTACGTCTGTCTACGCATCAAACACCCACCCACATGCACCTTCCCACCGAGTTGCTGCTCGCGCCGATCTCACGGGTGGTAGTAGTAGCAGTAGTCGTCACGAGAACACGTAACTAGTCGGAACTGTACTTTTAAACAACGTTAACAAACGGAATAGCTATTTCTACATTTATATCGATATAATTTTACACATACACATATACGCGGACGATAAACGTTTTGTTGCAGTCGTTCACCGACTGCCGACGGCGACGTCCGGATGGACTCCACCACGAACGGAGATTCGACCGTGATGCAGATTGTCCGGCCGCAGAGCCCTGGGAACGACGTGGTTGTCATGCCGGACGACCCGTTCGTTCCGAGTTACAGCGTCAGACTGCCCAACGGTACCGGCTACATCGTTGGCAACATCGGGCCCCAGGAAGAAAACGCGAACGGACGACCGACAGACGGAGACGGGCCACCGGCCCGAATGGGCGAACCGATCCCGTGGAACGGGTACCAGGCGTCCCGCGATTTTCTGGACTCCATCCTGATTCAACCGAAGATGTGGTTCCGGGACGAGGACGGGTTCCCGATCGGCAAGGCCACGTGCAACGCCACTTTCGTCGTCAAGCTTCCGTTGGGAGCGCCCAGGAACACCGGTAATCCGCTGCGTATCAGCCATCGGTCGATCGTGGACCAACCGTACTGGTTCCCGTCGTTGAGATGGAACCGCGTGTGGCCCGTGAACGGCTATTACAAACGTTTCGCCGCGAGCTATTACGTGAACTACTTGGACAGTTTGTACAGCGTCGCGCGCGAAGACGAGGCGACCTCGGCACTGGTACGCGAGATGCGCACCGCGCTCAAACACAGCGACTCGTCCAACTGGTTGCACTTGGTCGTGATGACGGCCATGCTGCACCCGCACCCGCAAGACTACGGAGCCCTGACCGCGCGACTGGACCACGGCCAGCTGCCGGGCGCGGACTCGGTGCGGCGCGCGACGCGCCTCGTGCTGGGGCCGCACGGCATTGCCCGAGGTTGGACCCGAACCGTGCCGAACATCGCGTACGTGATGCTGACGGCCGACGGCCATGTGCCGCGGCACTGGTGCCCGGACCCGGGCTCGGACGGTGGAAGTTCGTACGACCCGGACTCGCCGGGCGTCGAGGACGAGAACGAAGACGCGGCCGGGTCCGGTGCCGGATGGGCGGGCAGCGACACGTCCAGCCACGCGTCCGGCGACGAGCTGCATCCGGACGGCCGGCTCCATGTACTGGGACCGCGGTACGGTCTGTCGCGGCGGGAGCGCGGCCAGCTGAGGGAGTTCGACGCGTACGCCCGGTCGTTCCACAACAGTCGACGTACGCGCCGGTCGGCCCGACACGCCAGGCGCGATGTCCGGTCGCGGTTCTGTCCGGTGCGCCGGGAACGCGAGCCGGCCTACGACCAGGAGGCGAGGTGTGCCGAGACGTCGGCTGCTCGGTGCGCGCGGAAACTTTGCGAGGACCGTTGGCTCGCGGACCGCGCTGAGGCGGCGCGCGCGTGCAAGAGGCGTCGCGATGCACGTCGGTCGGCGGCCAAAATCTTGCGCGTCGCCGAACATCCGATCGCCGAGCTGACGCGCAGTCGGTTCCACGAGTTCCGGCAGCAGCTCAGCGAGCAAGTGTTCACCACTTGGAAACGGTACTACGGCGTCTCCATAGAAGAACCGTTGCACCTGCGGTGTTGGATGTCGCCGATCCGATGGGTGCAGCAGACGGGTCCCAAGTGAGTGTTTTGCACGAACGATATACGGGGATAATTTTCTGCACGGGGGCCGGACGGTCGAAGGAGTTTACGTGTTTCGAAACAGTTTTCCGCCATCGATGCGTACGTGCATCCGCTAACGCAGGGGTCGGCAATTAATTTATATTAGAATCATAAAGATTAAAATAGTAAATCAATGAGGTCCAGTGAAAACAATCTTTTTCAAATCTTTATATTTTAAAAATAGCAGTATAAAAATAAAAATAACTATGCGGTTATTACAATTAATTTATATTAAAAATTACAATATTAGGAGTATGAAAATAAAAGTTTACAGGGTCCAGAGTATTGCCCTCCACGGTCTGAATGCGGACCGCGGTCCGTCAGTTGCCGACCCCTGCGCTAACGTGTAATCTAACGTAGCGTTATTCGCAGTGTCTGTTTAAGAAAATTATTTTCCCTAATGTATGCCGCCACGTAATAATTACGAATACACGTGCTGCACATATTGGAACGCGTCAAATTACGGGCGAATCTAATTTAATGGATCCGCAACACGATTGGTATTTATGAGTTTATTATCTGTAGGTACACGGACTTTCAGTTTTGAAGGAATATATAACATGGACAATGTTAAGCGTTGTCAAAACGATAAAAATCATAAACATCCGTTATATTTTTCCGGTTGAAAATTCACGAAATCAAATTTTGCCGTTTTACATTGCATAATATTACCGATTGATGTAAGATAAAACACGAAAAACGAGATACAACACAATCATTGGTATATGACTTGTGCGTACAAGAAATTGTAGTCGATTCTGTACGATGTAAATTGTTCATAATATTCTATCGGTAGATAAAACGTTTAGGATTTTTAAATGATAAATAAAAAATAATTGAATAGTTTTTCTTTGTCACGATTGAAAAAAACTTTAATGGTTGATTTGAAGAGCTCTCCTTCGCCCCTTCCCTCCTTAGATCCGCGTCTGATAAAGTATCTAAATCTAAATTAACAATTTCTCCATCTTATTTTTTTTTTATGTTTATTATTTTTTCTTACTGATTAATACATTTGAATTTATTTCTATTTGAGTCGCTCCTAGATTAGTTCGGAAAGTTTAAGGTTATAGAGTTTTTTAATTTGAACTTAATTTATCTAAGAAGAATATTTTACAAATAAAATATATGATGCACAATTATTTTTAATATCATATCCTACGTAGTGATTTATTTTCATGACAAATATATAGATTCTTATAATTCATTACTCTTAATATTATCATGCTAAAACTATACTGTGAAAATAGCTATCATTACGTAAACATAATATAAGGAATCACCAAAGATGATGAAAAAGCACACATCGAACCGTAAGAAGGCATTTATCAGTTTTGCACAGCATGTCTATCCAACTATTTTTAATTTTAAACAGCATAAAATGTACCGTACGTCCGTGCACAGTCATGTAATTTTAGTTCTGGCATGTGTACCAATTATCAATGTAAAAAAATCAAATACAATTATTTTTGTGTCCATTACTAATGTGTAGCTTGAATATTTGATTAAAAATGCATCTCACCATGAAACATATTGAAAAAGTAGTTTTAATTAGTGTTACAGATACATACATAATTTTTTAATTCGATTGGCGAAAGTGTAAATGTAGTATAATTACTCCGTAAAAATTCCAGTTTCTTATCATATAGAGTTTATTAAATTATTTATTATAAAAATGAGCGTCCTAATTTATATTAGTCATCGAATAATAATTTAAGTGCATGTATTTAAATCAGTCGATTAGTTAAAGTATTCCAACGCCACGTTAGATTTACAAAAGTATTTTTAATAAATTTAGTTATATTCAGGCCCCCCACCCCACATGCATTTTTCTATGACGGTACTGTAAATAAATTTGAGCCTTCATCGTATATTGTTATCATATAATTTTAATATAAATTCTATCATTACATTTTTTTATTTTTACAAAATATACCTAAATTATTGGTTAAACAGCTTCTTTTGCCGTTATACAACTTTACAAAATATCAGTTATCAAAGTTATCCTGAAATAGGTTAAAAACACATTTACAGCAGTTTAATTTAATAACTAAAATTTTTTTTTTTTAAATTATTTATGAATAATGAAATATAATGTAAATTATTTAAACTTAAAATATCTTTGTACATTGCGAATACCTAAATTCATATGGTATATGATTTTTTTTTTTTTTTATACTCAATCACTCAATTTAAAACTTAATTTTATATTAATTACATTTTTCTTTTTTTGCTTTTTTGGCAAAATTATGTAGGAGTATAATTTTATAAAAGTTAATTTGTAATATAAATTTGTTTTCAATTGATATACGTTAAATTAAGTTAAGTCATTCATGGCCAGTTGAAGCCTCCTGCCAAGTCTTAAGCTGATTTCCTAATTTACTAAAAGATCTTTGTGCTTCAAAAACTTCCATTTGTAGTGTACAAAATATTTTTAAAACAACAGAAGTATTTTTAAAAATATTTTCTAATTTCTTTGCTTGAATATCGTTCAATAATTCTAGAGAAGATATTTTGATTTACATTAATAATTTTTTGAGGCCATAAATCAGTCAATTACATTTGATTTCGAGCGAAGAACAGGCACTCACATTTTCATGTCTGTCTATTTTTCCATTAAAAGTATGATAAGATTTTTCAAGACCGACAATTTCTAATACATTGTTATCATGTCGTATATTTTTCATAGAATACGTATTGGTTTTAACTGGTTTGAAAAATGTATATATTACTTGAATTATTTGAAACGGATTTTTCTTATTTTTCCAATTTCATTGTCCGTTCTTTGGATCCAGATTTATGCTTATACAATGAAAATCTCGGGTCTTATTCCAAGTATTTTAATGTGTATAATATTTAAAGTTGACAGACTCAGGATAACAAACAACTACCACAGCTCGGAGAGTGAATATAATTAGATGTCACGTAGATTATTGATCAGCGCCTGGCGATTGTGGTAAAAACTAAAATGCATACTGCAGTGTACAAAGGCGAGCACAGGAAAAAATGTCTGGGGGGAATGGAGTTTGTATAAATGTAAAATGTTGATAAATATTATGCTTTCTTACTCATTTTATAATATATATATATATATATAAGACTGTTAATTATTTTATTCAGGAATTGACCACGAACAAATCACACTGGAATTGTGTTGCTCTAAACATAAAGTTTTATTTATTATTATTACATATTATTTATATTATATACAGAACTTACCTAAACATAAAGAAACGACAATAAATGTTTGTTATTCAATAAAATGTCAATTCCTAAACTACTAACATATAATATTACATATCTTCCTTATTGCAATTAATTTATTTTATCATAACTTGCTTATCATTATTATTGTTATTACTAATCACCTTATGACCACACTAACCGTGCAGAGTGCGATAAAATACAATTTAAAGAATTATAATATATTCTTTACATATATATATAATATAATATATATAAATATATATTTTTGTATTTTATTTGTAAGCCTCACAGAAAAATTTAAAATAATTACTACATTTATGAGTCAAGTTATTTTTTTATGATTTTTTTGGAGTGGGGAGGAGTTAAACTTCTACCCCCTGCGTTCAATTCTGGTAGTGTATTAATATGATCGTGGGTTTTTTTTAGACCTAGGCTGTCGATAAAATAAATAGTAATAAATAAATAATGAACATTTTGTCGGAATACGAATATTCAGTAAAATAAATACCAGTAGGATAGGCAGCAAACATGGATATTCAACTTAAATTTCTATGGCGGCATACTGATTGCTTTTATCATCTCCGGATTTTTTTCTTTATTATTTTTATAAATGCTCGCGTCGCACCCTTCTACCGACGCCAATTCCCGATTTTATGAAATACAAATAATATATATACACATAGATTAATACACGAAATTATGTAGTAAAAAATCAAATTATTTATATACCGATATCCAATATTATATAAAAATAATATGGTGATTGGAGTGGCGTGATTCATTTTTTTTCTAAATTAAATTATTAGTATGTATAATATTATACTTTTTTCCGAGCTCCAGGACTATGGTACTCACTGCCCCCCCCCCCATTTGTGGGAGTTCTGGATATACTTAATAAGTTATTGTACATGTTTGGTAGAGATAGGATTTACTTAAAATGTAGATCAATGCAAGTAGTAATTGGATTGTATACGTTGATGTAGCTATACTTAGAACTAAGTATATTTCTAATATTATATGTTTCATTCTATAACAGCTGTGGACTAGCAGTACTGGCCATGGCCGCACGACCTATCTTGGGTTTTGAGGTGGCAGTTAATGGTGCCGCAGCCAATAATGTTTGTGACAGTTATAACAAGTTAAAAAATACTAACCCCACAAACGATGCAGTGGAAGAAGCCCTGATACAGAACATAAAAAAAAATTGGTCTGAATTCGTTGGAGATCATACGTCTTTGCCGGAAATACTTAATCCGCCCACCATAAATCAATTGCAACTAGACGCCATCAATCACGGATACACGGCTCGCGGAGAAATGTTCAGCGCTCTAGCCATGACTGTGATAGCGGATAAACACCAGGCTGGCCGATACAAAGCATGGTTGGTGGAACGCGATTTGTTAAACGACCCAACCCCTTCGACCTCTAAGTATGACAACGCGCGCAATGCGAGAGACGATTCATTCCAAAGCGATCAAACGTCTATGGACAAACACCACGAGCGACTAACCGTTCGGCCGAACGACCCGTTGTGGTCGGTGGATATAGTGCAACTATTGATCCGTGGTCATCTGATAGCAGTTTGGTAAGTTTTAATTTGCTTCTTCTTCCCTCTGAAATTACTTAAATTACTTACTAATAATATTAGACTAGGACCGCACGAGCGTACAGAATACGACCGTTAAATCGGACGTACTTTTTAAAGCGCGTACCAAGCGAGTGCACGATCGTCGATAAGACGTGCTATAAAAATTTATTATAACTGCGTATTGCATCTTACTATTGTCTACTTGGTAGTTGGTAGTGAATACATATGTAATGCATAGTTTTTTCAAAAGGGTCTTTTTTTTAATATGGACCCAGGGTTAATATATTCATACTCGGAATAAAAGCGAACTAAAAGGGAATGATGGGTTCGTTCGATAAACAGTGAACGATATACAAATGAAATTACGTAACGTTGTACGACAAACTTTGAAAAGATCCGCAACATTTTTTAACTACTTTCGCACGTTCACTGACGATCGAACTTTTGTTGTACACCAACAATTATATTCAACTACAAAATACTAATGTGCAATAAAATATGCGTCCGGATTAAAGTTTGTCCGTGGATTTGACGTTCACATTTGAAACAATACAAATTTAATTTAGGCGTTGATATGTTTGACGCTCCGTGTTCACGTATGCTATTCTTAACGCGTGTCGCTCGTGTAACTGCTCCCGTAAAGGTACGTTATCTTAGGAGCGCGTTTTTCGCGTCTTGTATGACGTAATACACTTGAATCGGTACGTTATTCACTTGTTCTTGTGAAATTAATCGCACTGTTTTCCTATTAAGCGCAACACGTTCCATGTTGGCGCAACAGAGGGAATTTATTGCGTCGCGCGCAGCGTTTTATGAATGGATGTTTGGGTTTGTTTCTATTTTAATTTTCTGTTTTATCGAACGTATACAAAACTAAATTATAATGTTAATATTTTTTGGTATTAATACAGTGTGTGTATTTAAGCAATAATATGGAAAAAAAATAGTTCTGTTGGGCCGAACGTTCGTTTTTCGGACGACGACAACGACGATCAGCTAATCGGATTCGTTAGCAATCATAAAATACTATATGATCTGAAGAATTACTCGTAGGGTAGTGGTCTTTATTAAATTTAATATATGTGCTACACACTAGTCGCACTTTCAGTAGTCAGTTGAATTGTTCAACGTGCTGCCAATAGTCTTGTAAGAAAATACTGCTACGCCGTGTAATACGTTTTGCGTTGACGCCGACGTGATAGAGTCATCACGTCGACGTGATCGGTTTCTGCGGCTCAAAAAACGTGCTCCTAGGAAAGCGTACCTCAATCAATTTTGTACTTTCACAATCCGCGTCAAAAACTACACACGTATCGACGTATCGTGTGGCCCCAGCCTTGTGGTTAGTATTTTGTATTAATTTATTGTAATACCTAAAAAAAATTCCACAGTTGTTATATTTTTTGATTTCGTTCAAATTCTATTATTTTCGTCCCTACTAAAAGGTGTGGAAAATGTATTCAATAAGTTAGGTTAGGTTAGGTCTGTTGAGTTCCAAAGAAAAAAGATATTTTTTTTTTTTAAAAAGAACTGTAATCTGAGACAAAATGAAATAATAATTTCTATATCAAAAAAAAAAAATATTCCAATTTATCATAAATACTATTTAAAAATGTAATTAATCCATTTAAATAAGATATTTTGACAGTCCAGCTATCTGTCTTCTGAGGACCGTCATTTGTCTCTGCTACAAACGATGAGTAATAATTTGAGTTCATGATCGATTTTTTTTTCCGTAGTTTTGATTGTGATAAAAGCATGATGCCGAATGCAACAGACGGTGGAAGTAAAGCACATTGGGCACTTCTCTGTGGTGTGATTATTGGCCAGCCGTATAAGAGTAATATGATAACTCAAACCCGCTTATCATCAGCCCACGTCAATAAGCCATCCCTACCGCCATCAACATCAAACCGTTCCTATAGCTCTGACCATAAATACTGGAATGACGATATAAAAAAGGACATTAATCACGTGTGGGTAATCGCCCGACACGGTAAATCAGGTAATAAGTACGCGATTTGGTCGCTAAAAGAATTAGTCGATAGCAACCGACAACTTCGAAGACCTGCGGATCGGATTATGAGAGCCATAAGGTTAAAGAACCAAGAGGGCCGAGAACGACACGGTGTAGACACAACGAAAGATAAAATAATAAGCCATCAAGTGGAACGAAATCTCGGAGACGTGGACCCCGACGGGTTTAACATACTGGAAAATAATGAATGGGACACAGGTGATCCCTTGTCTATATTAACAGAGGCAGATTTATTATCCCTATTATCGCCGCCGCCACCGCCACCACTATCGCTAATGCCGCTGTCACCGCTTGAGCCACCGAAGCCGTCGGTGTGGTCATCCTCGATGTGGTCATCGCTACCACCATCGCCGCCACCGCCACCACCACCGCAGCCATCGATGTGGTCATCATTACCACCACTGCCACCGCCACCACCGATGTGGTCATCATCATCACCACCGCAATCGCCGCTACCGGCATGGTCATTACCATCACTGATGTGGTCAACACCACCAATGATGAGGTCATCACCAACACCGATGTGGTCAACACCACCACCGTCGTGGTCATCACCATCACCGATGTGGTCAACACCACCACTGGTATGGCCATCACAACGACCGACTTGGTCAACACCACCACCGCCGCCGCCGCCGCCGCCGCCACCGCCACCACCTTTACCACCTCGATCGAATCAGTTGCAAACGATGGAATTGATCAAAGAAGATATCAGTGAAGTATCATGGTTCGTCTTGCCCGAAGGCGAAAATCTTCAGTCATGTCTTGCTCGTAGGTACATCTCATTTGAACCGGTCCGACAGCCAAAAATAGTGTCTTCCAGTACAAAGCACTCGGCATTTAAGTCGGTATCTGACGTAAGTTTTTTACATTCGATTTTATCATTATTGGATGTATACTGCAGGGTCGAACTAAACTACCGGGGGACGGGTAACGTTTTCAATTGGCCATGGATCTTTCTTTCTTTTCTTTTCTTTTTTTTTTTTTTTTGTTTAACTGGCACATTTCATTGTGTCACGCGATGCGTTTTGACGGTTCCCGGTGTATATATATACAACACTTAAAATAAATACAATATAACAGTAAACAGTAAATAGATTTGAGGAATCGTTTTGTTTCAAAAATAAATTACATTAGTAAGGACTACCTAAAAATAATCAGTTTTTTTTGTGATTATGATAATTTAGAGGTTCACTCTATTGATCACTATTTTACCGGTCTAGTCCGACCCGCATGATATGTTATATTACTATTATTTATTACATATTATAATACTGTAATAAAATTATTATAATACATTACGTATATTATGTAGTTTTTATGCACCGTTTTTATGTACCGTTCGTGTTATGTAGGATAGTTATCGTTTACTTTTTAATTTTTCTCGTTACAGCCGTTGGCCCCCGTTTCGTGTTACTTCTCGTTCAAATGGCAGTCGAAGCTTGATCAGCCGGAGGTCGTGCCCATCACGGAGACCGTGGAAGTAACATCATCGGACGAGTGCCAAGAGACGCATTCTCCGAAGCCGTTGTCCAAGCGGCGGAAATCTCGGCAGCAGCGAGACAAGCGGCACCACCAACGCGAGCGGTCGGTCTCGACCAGTTCGTCGTCGGACGCTTCGGAACATCAGCGGTCGCGGTCAATCGCGCGTCGAAATCGGAAGGAGAAACGTGCATTGTCTCGGACACAGGTTCGCGGACCGTGGGCTGCGGTGCAGGACAGAAATTTGGCAACTGATCGATCCCTTTCGCTCACCGCGCGACTACAATCTCCACCACCCCCGTTGCCCCCTCGGCCCCCACCACCGACGCGAAATTAGAGTGATCTGATCACAAGCCGTCCGTCCGTCATCCCCATCACCCGTTGTTTCTGATTGTCGTGGCGATTCAGACTAGTGGTGCCCTACCTGGAGGTCGCCAAATATTATTAGGGGGTTGCCAATGATTTAATGCCAAACGAATAATTTATGTGTTTTATTTTATTTTATTCAACTTTATTCTTAAATTTAGATTTATAACATTTTAATTTTGTATTTTTTTTTTTTTTTTTTTTTTTTTTTGTATGTTTTGGATTAATTAAATTAAAGAAATATTATAATAACCTATAACTAACCATTAAATTCTATAAATAAAATTTTGGTATACCTTAAGTAAATATGTATTACTTCCTCATCGTAATGGGTCCTTGAATAGGTTATACGATCATAATTTTTACACAACACCTGAATCGATACGATGTTCTTTCGTGTGTTTTATTCGCCAGATTATTTAGACATAAATATACTCTAATATGCTCACATACTTATGCTGGATTTCTTTACGTAGGCTTATGCGTAACATGATGTTAATCGGGTACCTCATTTTTGTTCAGACACCTATACAATGTTATTGCATGCGCGGGTCACGAGGTTAAATACAAATTTAATATCTTACTTACACGGAGAATTGTGTCCGGTAAAATATTTTAAACAAACAATTTAACTGGTTTTTCACTACATAACTATTCAATATTTTTATTATTTTAATTTTCACAAATATTGAATTTTAAGACAAATATTAATTTTCATGTTTAATTTCATATATCAAACACTCATGCTTATTTCTGTTAACTAAATGTGTTAATTATAAAACTCCAATGAGTTATATTATTAATAACATATCCGGATCGATGTGTTATTTTTGAGAATCTTTAAATGTTTATTATACTTTTTGTTGTAATATAAACACATTTTATAACTATCGGTTATCTATATTATCATATTATACTTCATAGTTTTGTTTTTCAAATAAATATAATTATTTGTAATAAATTTATAATTACAATCTTGATTATTACAATAAAATATTCTATACATTTTTATTTAAAAGTGTGAAATTTACATTTTTCGACGTTCATACCCATTGTGTTAAGAAAAAATCTTAAATAATGAATTGTAATGCATTTTATATTTAATAATACAGCTAAATATCTGTTAAAAAATTCTTCACGTATCCATATGTTGTCTTAAATTAATTTTTCATACTATGCTTATGATACGGTGAAGTTATAGTTATAGAGTTATAGGGTTAATGTATTAATTTTTATAACTACTGTTATATCTATAATATGATTTCGAATAAATGAAATATTAATAATTTATCGTATTGGAAATAATAAATCTAGTTATATATATATAGTTAAACATAGGCAGTAGGCGTAGTATTAATTCAGCGTGTTACTGAATTCTTTTTTTTTTTTTAAATAATTTGTTCGAAACTTTAGTCAATTTATTGGATGCGTGTTCATTTTAATTAATACATATAATAATTAAGAATTTAAAATTATATTGAAAAAATAATTAATTTCGTGTTAAGCGTATATATATATATATGCAAAATATTTATATGTTATATTATTTAAAATATAATTGTGTGTATTTTAATATATGCATATTTTATATATGTTACTATGGAAGCTCAATCTCTAGTCGAAAATGTATTGAACAGTAAAATAATCAAATTAAAATTAAAAATTATTAAATAGTTAATACTTGTAAATTAGTGTAGAAATAAATAAAAGTTTAGTCTGTAATATTTTTAATTTTTTTTAGCTTTTATTTTATAGATTTATTAAATTACCAACCTTAACAAAATACAAATCACCCAAGTTGTTAAAAGTTAATTAGAGTAAGCAAATATCAATTAATGAATAAAAAATTAAAAAAAAATTTTTTTTTTCTAAAAATGTTGAGTTTACCAACTAAATCACTCAAAATGAAATACCGATTATTATATACCTGTACCAAATATTGTATAGGCCCTTTACTAGTAATTATAATTATTATACTTATAGAATATTTCCCCATCTAAATTATTTGTAGACTAAAATTATATACAATTGCTATACTAATCGAGTTTTGTGTTAATTTATTATATAAATAATGCATTTTATTTAATAAAGTTGAAATATATTAAATGTATTATTAATCTTAAGTTACTATTATATTTTGGTATTCATGGAATGTTACCAATGAATCTAAATTCAGAATTGTATACAATAAAAATAAATAATTATAACTGTATTCTATTTTGTTTGATAAAAATTTATTTACCTAGTACAACAAACTATAACGAATTTCTCAAATCCTCTATTTTTCAGCACTAACTAAAGTATATTATTAAAGCTTAGGCTTTAATAATAATTTCAAATTATTTTCTGTTATTTTTTTTTTTTATTTGTGTTTTCCATAAATCGAAAAAAAATTAAAAAACCATAGGTATTGAAAAGTGAGTTGACTTGTGATTGATTTTTGATTAAACATAACATACGGTAATTTAATTATGAAAACAAACATTTTAAAGAATTTATTTCTTCTATATAGTTTTTCTATAATATTTTGCGTCGTAAAAATGCAATAAAAATAATATTTTAACGGTAAAGGCAGTTTAGCGTTTCAACGGAGATAGAATATGCGTTCAAATCGTTTGAATCAAATGGGACCGGAGTACTTGCCTAGCAGTGCGGCGAAAAGTCGTTAAATATTTAGTTAGTAAAATGTTTAGTGTTGTGTATGTATGGCATTTTAGTTGCGACAGATAAAATTATTTCGGCCGATGCGCGTGCGACTCTCGTCGTCGGTTTACTCTACCCCCCACGCGCGCGCAATGCGTGTTGACATTATGTCAAATGTTAATATTGGTTTGACGAGTCATACCCCATAAACCACAATAAAACACTGGTCGATCGATCTTTGTACTTGCCATTTTTCGTTAGTACCGCCGACAAGACCGTCCACCGCTGATATTGATTTTCTATGTATCTTTAGCGGTGCGCATTAATTACGCGGATGATGGAAGACATGTTGCAAAATGAAAACGTTACAAATAATCTAATGATTTTTAGTATATTGCGCATGCATATATTCACTTGTGTACACGTACAGAAAAAACTCGACCGGTATTTTTGTCATCACGACAAAATTTACGTAATATGTTCAAATGGTTTAACGTGATATGACAATCGTTCTCGTGGTAAAATCAGTGGCGGCGTGATGTGGGGCATACGGGCACATGCCCCACCTACAAAATCGAGAGGAGGAGGAAGAATTCATACTAAATTAAAACTGAATAGTTATTTCCTCTATCATAGTATAGTTGGTAATTGGTATATTATTTGAAAATATCATCGAAAAAAAAAAATAAAAAAATATTATCAAATACGGGCGCTCAACACGTACAAACTATATTATATTATTTAATTCGGTGATACGACCAACATTGGGGAGACGAGCACGAATTCGTTGTGCCCGGATAAACAGTACTCGTTTTCCCACACTTTTCGACACGAGTCAATGCGACGTTGCCGAGCACAATTGCATTGTGCCCGGATTTTATTTTTATTACGATTCTGTCGGTCTTATCGTGTTCGTATTGTTATCGTCGACCGTATTCTGCGGCACAGAACAAACACTAATTATTTGATCAATGATTTTAGTAACATGATAATAGTTAATCTTTTTTGTTCTATATCAGGGATGGTAAGCCTTTTGAACACACTGCGTGCCCAAAATTACCTTTTTTTTTTTTTTATAGAGCGTGCCATGAAAAAAATATTAAAAATACATTTTGTTATATTATAATTTGATTGTATAATTAATGTATTAGTATAAAAATGTTAGTTTAGGTACACAATAATAATAATATATAATAAATAATAATAATAATTATAATAATATTGCTTTGTTAATTATTTATATTATATTATATTATAGGTCCTATAATATTATATATTATATAATATATAATAGTAAAAATTTTCGCGTGCCCATAAAATCTTTTCGGGCATCTCGGGCACGCGTACTATGGATTTGCCATATTTGTTCTATATTGTTATTTGTCGATGCGTATTTTTATATATTTATAAAATAAATGTTAACGATTTAGTATGTAGTGCATAGTTAATATTTTCGAATTCACTATACCAAATTTATTAAATATTTTTGTTATTTTTCTTCGTGGGTACATATGTTAGAGTCGAGCATTTACTCAGTATCAACTTTTCAAGTTTACCTCCTGAGAAAAAGATGAAATTAAAAAAGAAGGTAGATCAATGCCAAATTTAAATATCATACAAATTAAAAAAAAACAAAGTCTAGATAATTCAAAAGAAGTTTTAATAAAGATATATATTCGAAACACGGTTGGTTATGTAGTTGTTGCAAAACGAACCGTTTGATTTGTTTTCCTTGTATACTTTTTTGTCGTACTTCTAGTGATAAAAATTGGTCACAATGCGGAATAAATGATTCCGTTGATTTTATCGCTATATTTAGTACACATAGTAAATCAAAGAAAAAGAGTGAAATATTTGTGACCTACCTTCAACGAACTCCACGATCCGCCACTTTTTATTTTTAAAATCATATATATAATTTCGTCATTTCGTCGTTCGGTTAACTATCGACCGTTCAACCGTCGTTTTACAACATACAATATTCTATGCATCGCGTTAGTGCGATTTAAAAACGTAAAAATATCAGTAAACGCAGAACAGAAATTACATTTTCCGAATCCCTTGACGTACGGAATTAACTTTGTACCCGGAAAGCAATATAGTCGGACGTTCAGAAAAAAAAAAAAAATAATAATATGCAATTTGCATTCAAATCCGTCCGCCGGTAATAATATCGACGCGGACCCGTGCGGGCAGGCGGTCGTTATTTAAGACGCCTGTCGCTTTTACGTTTCTCATCAACCACCAGACCGCGGCACGCACCACCGTCACGACGCCCCGTCACCCATCCATCACCGGACAGGGGACGCGAGCGGTCGCGACGACGTCCGCCCGCACCACCGTTGAACCGGTCTGTTTTTTCGAAACCGTGTACGGACGCGCACGTCGTCTATGTGTTTTCTTGTTTATCGTTTTAATAACACTTGTTTTTTCATTTTTTAAACGATCTGTTCACTGTTAACGTTCAATACATAGACCGCGGTCGATACACATGTTCCGTATTATTTTTAATGTTTCTGTAACCGTGTGTTCACCTCACCCACAGACACGTTACGTGCCACCGCGCGTGCCCCGTCAATGTGCACCTGCAAGCATTGTTGCCGCGCTGCGGCACTGCACTACGAAACATAGCAATAACGAACAGAAACAGGTATTACCGATACCAAGTAGTCCATTATCAGTCGGATTATTATCCGTGTTGATAACTTAAAGACTTCATATTGTTTCTCGTGGCCGTCGTTGAAATATTAAACGTTTTGTTTCGTTTCGATTAAACACGCGTGGTCGCGTACCACTATTGCTGCGCGTTGCCGACCTGCCGACAACTTCGATACAAATAATTTGTACGATTGTTGAACTCGAAACCGTGTTTACGGACGAGGCGAAACATCGTCGAGGAATGTACGGTATCATTAATATTCGATAAAGAACAGCGCAGTCGAATTTCCGTTCAGAGGGAGTAAGTGGTTGCGTCGGCTGTCGGGCATCGTATCGGCGCCACGTTTTATGGGTTCGGGTGACGATTGACCATTAACATTTACTTGAAGCTGTCAAATGGTCATTCGATTCGTGTCAGTAGCACGCGGTAGTTTGTCTGTCTGAAACCCATTGTTCACGTCTTAGTACAGTGTATCGTGAACTATATTGCTGTCCATTTCCGAGTTTTTCGATTCGAATGTTTTACGCGTGACTGCGTCGATCCGTATTTCGTTCGCCCGGTACTCGTTGAAACGCTGTTTCTCCGCCACACGGTGAAACGTTCTTCAAACTTCCCCGAGAACCGAAATGGATCAAGGTTCGTCAGGAATTCGTGATTTTAAAGCCGAAATTAGCGATCCAGAACAGGCGGAAGAGGCAGACGAGGCAGAACAGGCGAGTACTCGACATTAAAATACTTACAGGCGGTGAGGCTGAGGGTGGCTACTAGTTGCGTCCCGCGGTAAAAATTTCTTCCGAATTGCGGCCAGTAATTTAAATTAATTTATGTAAATCTAAATTTAAAAAGCTTCGTTTTCCTTCACATTTATTAGATACTGCAGGTAGGTTAAAAATGATGTTTATTATTTAAACATTTTGGTACTGGTAAAAACATTTATGATACTTTAGGTTAAAAAGTTGTTGACATTAAAATCTGATATTAAAATGTATTGTTTTTATTAAAAAAATTTTAGCCCTGGTAAAAACGTATATGGTATTTGTTGAAGTTATAAATATTAGTATAATTTAGTAAAATTCTTAGGTATTATGGCACTGGTAAAGACTTGTATGATGTATAAATTCAAATTTGTCAATTTGGTTTTCTTCTAATCGTTTCATAGTATTTCTAATAAATGTTTCTTTTTCAATTATATTTGTTCTGCGAATATTTAAGTGAGTGCTTCTTAATTTTTATAGGTATCCTTCTGTATATTTTTTAGAACATTGATGAATATAAAAATATTAGGATGAACACTGTAGAACAAAGCGTTGAGTTTCGAATGAAAAGCCTCACAAAATATCTAATCAGTCAAGATTAAATTATTTAGAGTTCGGGCTGCAACTCGTCTGTACCCAAAATAAATTCGAACCGCAATTTAGATTAGACCTTTTTCGTTGATATCTTTGGGACGCAACTAATATGCAACCGAGGCTGAAATATCAGGCATCATGGGAGAGATATTTTATTATTTTAGACAAGAACAATTACTTTTTTGATATAAAAAAAATTATTGTAGTTTGATAAAATCGCACAATCATCTTATATTTTATTGAAATTTTTAAACGTTTTAATTTTTTTATGTTATTAATGGCTTTTTTTAAATCCATACAATAGTGCTCATTATATTATTAATTTCTTATTTAATACTGGTTTAATCAGTGGCGTACATTAAATTTTTTTACAAGGAGGAAGGGATTATTATATACATAGATTTATATACGTTTTTTTTGTACATACTTTATGTCAATGTCAAACGTCTATATTTATACCTTCTCAGACGAAAAATTAATGTTTTTGTGATTCCATCATAAATGAAAAATACTACATTTTATACACATGTTAAAATATTTATAATGTATATTACGACTGCTTTATGTAAGCCTAACATTTCCCGTTTTTAAGCCAAGTTGGTTCGTGTGTTAAATAAAATCATATTATTGTACGATAGGGGGGGGGGGGAGATAAAACTCACGACATCAACAGTCAATTATTATGCATAGAACAATTGTTGTCAGATTACCATGTAACCGTTAACTAACATTAAAATCCGAAAAATATCACGTAAGTCGTGTGTGTCAACTCCAACTATCATTCGGAATTCCATTGTTAAATGCTATGGTCCAATAATCAGGTGTATACATTTAATTTACAATATTTTATATTTAAATAATAAACATCATTGTGTCGCTTATATGATAAATATATATATTTCACAATCATAATGAGCCCTAGGAGTCCTGCAACAGGTGTATAAATATTAATCAGGGTGCATTAAAGAATTTATTGCAGAGAGAAATTCTAGGGAGCTATATTATACGAATTCTACTAGATTTCGGGCCAACATAGTTCACATAATTTTTTATTCTAATAATGTCAAAAATAGAGTTTTTTTATTCCTTGAAGTGGGATTTATCACGGGAATCGAATATTATTATTTTTTAATAAAATTAAAAATTATAAGGTTTGATTTGATTTATAATTCTTAAAAGCTTATAAATATATTTATTTTTACCTAAAGAAATTTCTAATTTTTACCTAATGAGATATCTCTCCCTTGGCCGCATTGTATTGTATTCGATATTTAAGCCGATTCGGCTAATAACCGTTACACCGCTAACTAATATTATAATACAAGTATTGGACGTCCAGTCAATATTTAACTATCAATAACTAGTAATACCAATAGACTAGTAATTAGCATTATAAACTAATTATTTCTAAATCAATGTTTCAATTAATATAAGGTGACCATACATTTTTCTGTAATTTTTTTATTAACGTTGATTATGTGGTATTAAAACACATTAGGTTAGTATGTCCATGTTGATACATCGTTCGCCCAAATAGGTATTTTTATATTTTATTAGTATAGTTGTATTCCGAAAAACCACATAGCCCAGGTTCCGTTCAACGTCATTCATGCAGTATGTACAGTATACAAATGACATATGTATTCATAATAGTTAAATGTAATAGAAAAAATAACTCTTTTTGTTATTTTTTTACTATTTTCTAAAAACGGGACAATCCCATTCATAAAGGTATGTACGGTCACCTTAATTTAATACAATAAAATTACCATCAAATATTATAGATTTAACTTTTACATTTTCATTTATAAAATAACTTTTAACCTTATTTAAATTTATTTAAATTATTGAATAAATAAATCAAATTATATTACGTATGTATGGAGCTGACATTTTTTTGAGATACTTAGACGAATAGAATATATATGTTCTAAAACGTATTATTATATTTATTATTAAGTTTCTGATATGGATAGGGGTATTATATTTGAAATCGTACCCTCATCACTAACACTATGAAATGTCACTGAAAGTGTCATTAACATGCATTTTACTTGTCGTATTTAAAAAGCAATTTACCTACACGGGATAATAATTATAAAAATGTCATTAACGTTACAGTCAACCGTCAACGAAAACCACACGGTACTGAACTTTAGAACCGTTAGGCGCAGTATACCACAGGTTAGTACAGTCTGAAGAAAAACGGTCATAGAAAACATTTTGGATAAAAATAAATTCTATTTTCGATAAATCATTTAACAGATAACCAACACTCTGGAAATGCAAATGATGCAAAAGTTTCTGACTCAGTACGAGGTCAGTAACTGAAACACACGATATTATAACATACATATTTTTATATATATTTACTCTTATCGGATTAAAAAACTTGAAATGATTGAAACAATGGTTTTGTAATCGGCTGTTTAAGTTCCAGGACAGTGGGCCTATCATGATAAACTCAACGGACGACTTCGACCCGTGGACTAATAGTGACGAAAGCGATGACGAACAGGTTGGTAGTGCCGCAATTAGTCGTTAGTGACTGGCATTGTATTTAATAAAAGTAATCACTTTTTACGGTTGATTGTTGAAGAGGACACTCGAAAGGACGGGCCGGGGCCCGAACAAGGTGTTTCTGTCGCGGCCAATCATAACGGATATCCCGCCGTTCAACGGCTCGTGGACGCGGTGCTTCCTCAGGATGCCGGACGACAGGAATTACGCGGTGAACAGCGGCGGCCCGATCCACGTGGACGGGGTGGAAGTGCCGTGGCCGGGGTACGTCGCGTCGGCGGGGCCGATGGTCGACTGGATCGTTGTAACGAGTTGGCCGGCCGCGAGCGGCCGCGAGGCGTGGCGCCAGGTGTTCGTGGCGTCGGTGCTGCGCGACGAGAACTTCCAGACGGGCGACCCGCTGGACATCCGGTTGGGGTTCGCCGACCATCCGTTCCTGTTCCCGACGCTACGGTACGGCGGCCGATGGGTGCCCGCCGTGTACCCG